CCAGACGCGTTTGAACCTGCTTCGCCAGGCCTGGTCCGGTCTGCGAGCTTCACCTACCACCCTTCGGAACACCCGGACCCTTCGACGATCAAACGTACCTTTTCCGAGCATGTCATCTCCCTGCCCTCAGACACTAAGGTCAAAGTCAACGAGAGTGTCCACTCGGCGAATATGGAGCTCTTCCGGCGGGTCTCCAGGAAAGCGAAGAGGAAGATGTTGGCAAGTGCCCGCTTTTCGTTGTCAGCAGAGGATGACGAGCCACAATCAAGAGAGCTAAACAATACGGGGGGCGAGAAGGACGAGCAAACAAGAAGTTTGAGCCGCTCTGTCGCTGGCACACTTCGTACCCTCGCCCGGAAATCCTGGGCTCCCTCGTCGAGGTCGACCTCCCCAAGCCGGAAAGACGGTGAATCTGCAGAAAGAAAGCGGAGTTGGTCCCCCAGCAAGAGGAAACTTGCCGTCGCAGCAAACTCGGTCGCTGTTCCCGAGCGCGCGGCCTCGAGTCCGCCTTTACGGGCATCCCCCGAGGGAGATGACTTACTACAGGAGGCTCCAGCACAGCCTATCCGCCCCGACCAACGACGTTCTACCACCCCCACACCAGTTCAACGACCACTCTCAGTCCTTCTCACCAAGAACAAGAGTGACGTCAACCTGAGGCGAATGTCGAGGAATTCCAGTGCGACTTCTCTTCGGAGTTTCGTGTCCAACGACCGATCACAGTCAAGACTATCGCTCAACAAGGTGCCTCCGCTGCCCCCCTCACTTTCATCCGATCGACTTGCAGCTCTTAATGCCGAAGCCCCCAGAAGAAAAGATCCGCTGTGGGCTGCATTTCGTAACCTCGATGGGGAGTACAATGGCTTCCAGTCGAAGACTAGCCTCCAGAAAGCCAAGGTCCTACGAGCGACACTGATTCCTTTCTTGGTCAAGCACGAAAATCATCCCTCTAGCAAATCTCTTCGAGCCGAGGATTTGGACCGACGAATTATGATCTTAAATAAATGGTGGACAGGATTGCTGGAGATTCTGCATGGAGCAAACAATCAGTCGATATCGGGTACGGACAGACCCGCATTCCTCGAAGCCGCAAATCGGATCATGAGTCGGCCGGAATGGAGGATGCCTGGCTTCTCTTCAACTCCAGGGGAAACCCCTCAGCGTTATTCAATTCCCAAGTCGAAGTCGACCAACTCTCTTGAATCGGAGGAGGCAGATTTCTTGATCGATTCCGTTTATCAGAATGTGCGTAACACCTTCGTCCAAAACCTCCTCTCACAAATGGAGTTTGTCACCGGGGTAATGTCATTGAGGACTGCACCTCAAAGCCTAGTCACATTTGCTGGAAAGGCTTGTGCGTACGCTTTCTTCTTCTGTCCCGGAGTGGCCGACATGCTCATCAGGTTGTGGTGTCTTCCGACCGCTGTACTCAGACGAATGTTCAGACAGTTTGGCGTCGAGCAAGGTGAGAAACTGGACTTGACCTCCAGTGCTCTAGGGAGGAATTTTCCTCCACCCGTTCGAAGTCTCTGTGTTGGATCTCAAGCAGCCTTTATGCGTCACCTTCAGCAGCGAGGTCCAATACCACCAGGATCAGAGAAGATCGATTGGTATCAACCCTGGGTCGCGAGATGGTCTGGCCACAACAGTGATTTGTTCTTCGTCTTCACGAAGCAGTACCATATCCTAGTATCTGAATTCCTCGCAGAAGATGTTTCGCTGAAAGATCGCACGGGCATTCCTGGTATGGTACCAATCTGTGCTCAGATGCTGGTCATCCTGGAGACAACCATCTATCGGCAAGCTGGCCAATTTGGAGGCGAAAGCTACGCTACCGGCACCGGATCCAACATGGACAACCCGGACGCTTTGGCTCCTCTGCCCATGACGATCGCTAACGCAACTCGTTCAATTGCCGAGAATCGACTGATCATGATGCTGCGAGACATCATGGGCGACCTGGACCCAGATCGCACCAATTTTCGAAGTCTCTTCTCGGTTTCCTTTGACAGTGTCACCAAGGCCGCGACTGTCAAGATTTCCTTGTACAATAACGACGCTTGTTTTGTGATTTGTGATTTTATGGAGGAAGTTCTCCCCATCATGTTCCGACACCACCTGACCTACATTGATACCCCGGTTCTTGACTGGCCGTTTTGGCTGGAAGTCTGCAAGCAGATGCTGCGAAGTCAGACCACTCTTACCCAGATACGGGTGATCACATTCTTGTACACTAATTGGTCCATCCTAATACATAATGAGGGACAGAAGCGTCAGCTGGTTCTAGAGTGGCTGTTGGACGCCGACGTCTTCGAGAAGCAGTTTTGTCACTGGTCGCCCATGGTGCGACATTACTTCTACCGTCTGCTGTGCTGGAAAGTTGCGCGATACGATGGGGAGGTTTCGGACTTGGATACGTAAGTTGGCGGCAATCAATTTTCTGAGTGGTTACTTACACGTTTGCAGGGAGATCTTGCAGACATTGGCTGCTCGGCTGAACAAATGCTGGGCAAATTACCAGTATTTGGGTGCGGAAGCGGAAATGCGAGGTCTCGTACCACCATCGTCGGCGCCTTGTTCACCTGCACCCAGCCGTGTCCTCGTTATTGTTCGGACTGACAGTCAACCAATTATGACGGCCTCCAAGACACATTTCGAAAAGTATCTCCCAACCTCAATCGTCACCCAGAATTCGCCGTTTCCGAACCATTCATCCATCCTGAACACTATCCCAGCTGCCGACTTGCCGAACAACAGCAACAAAAAACGATGGAGCCTGTTCCGTGGCCTCAACGTGTTCGGCACGCCGGGTAACCATCGACCGGGAGAAGTAACACCACCTGGAAGTCCAGAGGAGAAAGGCGGCTCGGCCTCCAGCGATGCCCCTGATCCGAACAGCGCTATCACCACGCCAAAGAGGCCCGCTACACCACCACACCAGGCATTCTCGTTCAAATTCTCTCTCGAATATTTCTCGTCCCGACCCTACCTGGAGAACAAAAATCGACCGGTGGCAGCGCCACTACTTCCTCCTAACGCCCAGGCCATCCTCAGATCGCGGCAGAGCTCAGACAGTGGTGTGAGTGGAGGCAGCGCGAGCGGTGTCAGCCAGACCAGCAACAGCGGCGGGAGCGGGGTTAGTGGTAGTAGCGTTTCCCGTGGGAAAGCTAGAGCAACAGAAGTGAAGCCGCTCAAGCCTAAGGATCATGAGATGGGCACAGCACGGTACAGCGGGCGATCTCTGGCTGAATGGGCCCAGGTGTTGCACGAATGTCGGAGTTTTTACAGCAGACGCAAGCAAGAAGGTGTCCCAAGGGACAGCCTTGTGGAGACACCGACAATGGGCGTGGAGAATTTTCGGCTGATAGGTGGTTAAGGGCTTCTCCGTCGGACACGGAGTTCTTGCACAGAGATACGATGATGCACGAGAGGGGCGCATTCTTGCGTGAAATGTTGATGGAATCGTTGGACAAATACATAGATAGACATACCATGGGTGGGAACAGTGCTGGTTTCTGGCGGCGTTGATGACTGGATCGCACGGCTGCTGGAGAGATAGCGGGTTTGTACAGTGCTTGGATATGGATGGATTGCACACACTGTTGAGTTTGTCCATGCAACATGCAACATGCAACTACTCCCAGCATCAACCGTAACTTCCTCCTATGCGGTGTTTCCTCGCCACGAAACTCCCATAACTTCATTCCAACCGGGCGTGTCAAGTACGTTGTCTGAATAGGCAGGCATGTACAATAGGGTGGCAATGCTTCACCACTCATCTCGGGATATCATACATCAGCGTTTGTGTATTCGGCCTCCCATTGAGGCGGTCTGCAGGCAACAGATTGCTGTTAGTTGAATTGTAGAGCTGCCGATCAGGGGAGGTGAGAGGGACACCTACGAGTGCTCGTGTATCCAGCATAAGCGGTCAACCAGTCCATAGATATTTTGGTCTAGGCTACAGCGTGCTCGGATATGTTGAGCTCGTTCATCCTGAACTGCCTACCTTGCAGCTTGCTTAGTCTCGTGGGTTGAAGTTCAATTTCGGGTTGCGCCCGTTGACGTGCTCTTCGGAGTCGCACGGGGCCCTCGGAGCCGGGTAGACGTTAAATAGGTGAACAACTTGGAAAGAAGGTCAATGAACTAGATCTCTATTGCCGGCGGTATTGCCGGCCTTGACATTGATAAAAAGCAGTAATAACGTCTAGGCGTTATCGGTTGCAAACCTTCCAACCCGCTCTCGCATCCTACCGGACATTTTGAGCCTCTGGAAGGTGCGAGATGCTGATAAAAGATGAGATGGCCATCTTACCCAAGATCCGGCCAGGCGCTCTGGCGGAACGCTCACTTCGGAGTTTGCTGGGGGGCTATGTATTTTCCTCTAGTGTCCAGCCGTAATCTCGATCGTAAGCTATGCTGGAGGAGTCCCTGCGTTCCTGGTTCTGCGACAGCTAAATAGACTGCGCTTGCAAATTATGAGTGACCGCAGACGTTGCTCGGCCTGAGCCATGCACGGACTAGCCGCATACTGGACGACTCAGACCAGGAACACACTCAGCAAAAGAACATTCCCCCCTATTCAAGGGAACGGGCACAATGGCTCGTCTCCGGGTGGACAGGCATGGATGAGGGCCATGCGTTGTGCTGGAATTTGAGGTATAATCCAAGCTGCTGATCCTTTGGTGCCTTATGGTGATGATTGCACAGTCCGGCCACTGTCACTGTACGAGTACTCGTAGCATCGATAGAAGGAATATTCTGAGGTCTGTCTGCTAAGAGGCTGCTCCGCCAAGCCTGCAGCCTCGCCTGCGACGAGGCTGTAGGACTTAACCCCCAAAAAATCTCGAGATCAGGAATCTTTGTGAAGCGGAGATGTAAAGGATACACTTTCTTCTTTGCGCTTCCATAATGGTGAATGGGTTCGTGTCGCTGCAATCAAAAGGAACTTCATGCATGGCATCGAATTGACGGCCTGATCGGGTCTGCATTGGCGCGCCCTCATGGATCGCTACCGGGGGTAATTAATGCCCTCCGCCATACAATTGGACCTCTTTCCAAGGACTGACATACAACAGCTCTCGCCGATCGCCTGCGCCTCGAGACAGACCTACCCGTGATCCTGACGTCTTCGCCATCGGTTCCGGTGAAAGCTACAGACCTGGAGGTGAGAATTCATACCGACCTTCACCTCGCGACCGAGACCGTTTCGGTGCAGACTCATGGACGGCCGAAAGAAGAGATGGACGACGGGATGATCGAAGAGAAGAAAGAAGAGAAGACATTGACTCCTATGTTCCACTCACGAGCTCACGAGCAGCACGCCCGCGAAGTCGCTCTCCAGCCTTTCGTCGACGATCACGGACCCCTCCTAACAGAAGAGAGGACTTGTTCGCCAACAGAAGATCACCACCCCGTCGCTACTCTCCAAGAAGGTCACCACCACCCAGAAGGAGGTCTCGATCGCCCCCTGGCGGCAGGGCTCGCAGTCCGCCTGATCCTAAGAGGTTCCGAGACTTCTCATCTGAGCCCAGCCGACGGTCGCCAAAGCGCGAACGACGATTTTCTCCAGACCGGAGCCGGGATCCGCGTGACAGATCACCTCTGGGAGACCCGGGAAGGGCAGGAGAAAGCTACAGACCACGATCTCGAACTCCGCCGCGTAGGAGACCGCAGAATGACACCTGGATGAGAAGATCTCCTTCACCAAGAGACTCCGGTGCAGCATCACACAATACCTCACGACGATCATCTCCTCCCATGCACCCAGACAGAGCGAGTTTGGCAGGTTCCGTGACGAGATCACCTGCACCGCCAGCCAACCGGAGCCAATATGATAGGGCAGAATCAGCCGCCGGCAGCTATCGTGACCGATCTCCCCCACCACCCACACCCGTGGACCCCATACGGGATCGAGACATGAGCATGCCGCGCGAGGATGTCCACATGAACGGCACCAACGAGCCCCGGCGGCCTCCGTCAGGTCCCAGCAGTCATCGGAATGGCAATTACGAGAGACCGCCGCCTACAGGCCCGTCCCGAAGTTTCAGCCAGCCCGTTCAATCACCACCAACTGGTCCCGCAGCGTCAATGTCAATGTCCGCTCATAACAGGGGTGGTGGCGCGTCCACGCTGAGAGCTCCTTCTGGACCTCGCGGCTCAGTTGGTAGATTCGACGGTCCACCGCCCCGCGATTTCCCAGGTCCACGTGGTCGAGGCGGTTTGCCCTATCGAGGCCCAGCACCCCACGGACCTCGAGGCGGAGGCTACGGGCGCGGTGACTTCGGCGGATCCAGTGCTCGAGGCGACTATGGAGGGACCCCCTACCGTGGTGGGGGCTTCGGACGTGGGGGCAACGGTGGAGGAGGTGGTGAGCCCTCATTCCCATACCGCGGGAACAACAGCTCGAGCACGACCTATCCACGCACACAGCGCTTCAACACGGTCCAACAACATCTGGCCACGAACGAGAAGATCGTCCCGGGCGGCAAACTCCTCCCCTCGGGTCTTCCCCCTGACCAGGAAAAACGGATCAAGATGCTCGAAGCCGAGAGCGAGCGCATGCGCGCCGAGATCTCAGAGAAACAAAAACTCAAGCGAGAAGTCCTGAATGAATGGGAAGTCAGAGAAAGGGAGAGCGAGAGGGAGGCCCTGCGGAGCGAACTTGCTGAGCAGCATCTCCAGCAGCTGATGGAGAGCGAGGATGGAATCGGAAGAGCTGCGTTCTAGCTGGCGGCTCCTCGGACCGGGGGTGATTTACTCGATTTCCCCTTTTATAAAATGAAAAGAAATGTTCGGGATGAGATTGGCTGTATCGGGCGGTCTGTGGCGTCCAGTTCTCTTGGAGGGCTTAAGGCCGGTGCGTACCGAATCGGGTGAATATGAAAGTCGAAAGCGGTTGACTCGGATCGAACCCGTGAGTCCCACAGCCGGCTGGACGGTGAGACTTCACACGAGGATCAAAATGAAACATCAGACATTCCGCTCAACTGCTCCGCTGGCATAAGCGAAATCGGGTCGGCAATGGGTAAAAATGGCCAGGTCTTGGATGGAAAAGAAAGGAAAAGCTCAGCGTTGTTAGCATTGCCACTACCACAAACGCTTGCACTGGGATTGGTTTGGACATAGCAAGCGAGCACTGGATTGAACAGCACGCAATCCACCACTTTACGCACGGTGAATGACAGGAGACAGTCGGACTCAAGCCCATTTTTCATTGTCTTCGTCGGTCGACGCGAACAGACTCTGAGAAAGGGGCCAGACACTAGAATACGTGTCAGAAGCGCTTCGTTTTTGATATTCGATCTCGCCCGGTTCCAGCCAGCCAGCCACTCTTGACGACGGTTGTCTCTTTTTTCCTTCCCCCGGGAATAAATGCACCTGACAATCTAGGTTACATCTCTAGGAGCCGACTGCTCGTCCGCCGTCAACCTCCAAATTCACGCCAGTCACGAACTTGCCCTCGTCACTCGCCAGGAAGGCCGCGACATTGGCGACATCCTTGGGATCCGTCAGTCTCCCGAGCGGCACGTTGAACAGGAACTTCTTCATGTTTTCTTCATTGTAGGGCACGCCGACGAAGTTCTCGAAGAGACCCGTCCCGGAGAGAAGAGGGCAGAGGGCGTTGATGCGGATCTGGTCTTTGCCGAACTCGGCGGCGAGGCCTTTGGTTGCCTGATGATGAAACACCAGCTTTGTCAGCTATGGCCTTTGTGCTTAGAGAGGGGGGGTCAACAAACATTCGCAACAGCGCCTTTACTCGCGTTGTACCACACCAGGCCCGGCCGCGGCCTCATGGCGCCAATACTGGCAATGTTGATGATGGCACCACCCCCGCGGTTCTTCAACGCCGGGATCGCGGCCGACACGCTCAAGTAGATGCTCTTGACATTGACGGCGAAGACCCGGTCGTACTCGTCCTCTGTGACTTCCAACGTCGGCTTGTTCTTGTAGCTGGTCCCGGCGTTGTTGACCAGGATGTCTAGGCCACCAAACTTTGTGACGGCCAGGTCGACCATCTTCTGCCAGTCGGAGCTCGAGGTGACGTTGGCCGTGACCAGCGCGACGTGCGTGTCTGCCGCGTCCGTGTAGGCCTTTTGGAGCCCTTGTTCGTTCAGGTCCGCCGCCACGACTTTGGCGCCTTCTTCGATGAATTTGCGGACCGTGGCGAGGCCGAAGCCTGACGCGGCTCCTGTGGATGGGGACAGACTGTTAGCGAAGAGTCCCCATAGCAGGAGTTGAGCCGGGGGTATGTTGCAACGAAACCACATGCGCATATGCCCTCGGTTCCTGTTTGCTCAGGGTACGACTGAAGCATCTGGACATTCCCGTTCTCCAACAAACGCGAAAAAGACCGGAATCCTCACCTGTCACTATGGCCACCTTGTTGGCCAACCGGCCCGTGCCCGTCTGTACTTCGTGGAGGCCTGACATGGTGAGTATGCAATTTTGACCAAGGGCCGATTTCTAGGAGATGTAGCGAAAAGAGGTGGGATGGGTCGGCACAACTACGCAGGGATCACGAGCATGCAGCAGCAAAGCTATACGGTAGATTGCTTCTTCGTGAAGGGACAAAGACCGCGAGGGAAATATAAAGGATGCTGGGACGCCTTCCTTCCCCGCAGCGATTACCATATTCCAGCAGCAGAAAGGGCACGAACATGATGTATGCTCGCGGTCTCGGAAGTGCACAGAGGGGTAAAGGTTCAGGTGAGGACAAGGGAAGGGCGGGTTTCGGAAGAAAGCTTGCGGGGAAAGAATTGCAGCCATGAAGCGTGGAAAGGAGAGTGATGCGGAGATACGTATCTTCGAGAGCGAATGGAATGAAGATGAAGCTCGCCCCCCAGTCGGCTTGTTCTCGAGACGCCGGCCATCGCCCGTCTCCATCATTGATGGGTACACGCGCGGTCTACAATACCCCCGAGGCCGTCTGCAATTGTTCCATTCGTGCTTACGAGACTGGCAATAACCTGCTGTTCAACGCCCGCTGATGCCGATTCGGTCGCCGGTGCAACGGGAGTGACGGAGTCGGACGGTATCCTGGAGAGAATGGTGGCAATCGCAAGGCTTTGTGCAAGCTTGGAAGCGAACAAGGTTTCTGCAAGCACAGCTTTGGCGCACGCGACCAGCGCCTGTGAGCCTGAGGAGCGACTCGCCAGGCCCGAACGCCTGTGTCTCAGTACCGGCAATGTAAATCGGAATGGTGGACGCATGTTTCGGCCAAAGCTACTCATGGGTATCTGGGGGTGAGGGACCGCAATTCGAAGCCGCTCCAAGTCCTCATCACTTCCTTTTCTTGTTCGCCCGACTTTCTGTAGACATGGTCAGTACTGCGGTCGACCTCGACACAGAGATAGATCGTACCCGCTGCCGTTCTCTTTTTCTTGGGCGCGCCCTTCCCTCTCAACTTGGCAAAGGCCACGTTCTCTAACCGGTCGTCCTCCTCTTCATTGAAGCCTTCGAGGTCGAATCTCTTAAACTCTTTCAGCACGTCTTCCACGGTCGCTGATCGTCTGGGATAATAGGCGGCCAGCGCCGGGCCTCTTAATCTCTGGCGCAGAACCTTGTTGCCCAGTCGTTGCTGCATGGGATTGAACGTCGTGGAGAAGATAGAGCATTGGAGCTAGAGGATGAGAAAGAATCAGCGCGCTGCGGAAGTATAGCCAAAGGAGGCCCATCACTCCTCCATCGCACGATATCGGATGGCGCAGTTCGGGAGAGTAGAGTAGTCTGGCAAGGGGAGCCTCACCTTCGTGAGCTGTAATAGCCGACCTCTCGACGGAGAAGCCATTGCAATGCTTGTCTGTCCTGGTGTATCGATTGATGGGAAAGTTCTAGCCAGAGCAAATGCCAGAAGTCGAAGCGATGAATTGCTCAGTCGCGTCAGTCTGCGACCGGCTGCATTTCGGGGGAATCGAAGTTTTCTCCACCTCCAGCGAGACGCAGTTTCTAGTTTCTTGTGCAACCAGTAATTAGACTTTCAAATCGAAGACAACACCTCTCAGTGAGTCTCTCGTCATACCGCTGCGTCGACGTGGGAGTCCGTATCAACATGGCCGAGTCCGACAATAAGCGCAAGTACGGAGGCGGTCACCTTCAGCCCGCCAAAAAGGTCCGCAGAGACGGGCCTTGCTCGCGAAAACATCACAATGTCCTCCCCGAACCTGCTAGCGATGGACTTCCGCGTCTCCCCCAGATCAGCAATGAATACCGGAATGTTGTCTTCACCCACCCCAGCCAGGCGCCTCAGGACCCTCAAGCCAGCTATGACCGACTCGAGTTCCTTGGTGACGCCTACCTCGAACTCTACGCGACACAGTTGATATTCAATCGCTTTCCCGATCTCGAAGTCGGCAAAATGTCCCAACTGCGGGAGACACTGGTCAGAAACGAGACGATCGGTCAATACGCCAGCCTCTACAGTCTCGACAGACAGCTCAAGAACTACAAGCAGTTTCAAAACAGCCCGCCCCACGTATGGCTCAAGGTCAAAGGCGACGTCTTCGAAGCGTACGTCGCAGCCGTTGTCCTATCCAGCCCGGACGGCGCAGAGACGGCCAAAAGCTGGCTCCACCAGTTGTGGGAACCAAAGGTCCAAGCAGTCGCTGCCAGCACTCCTCCGAAGCCAAAGAAGACCAAGGAGGAACTGGCCAAGAAGATTCTGATGAAGGGGACCAAGATCAACTACGTCGACGAAAAGGCTCCCGTGGTCCATTACGGTCAAGGCCGGGAAGAATACTTCGTCGGCGTGTATTTCACTGGTTTTGACTGGGAGAATCAGTATTTGGGAAGTGGCCGAGGTCCCAGTCGAGTCGAGGCCGGCATGTTTGCAGCAGCAGACGCGCTCAAGAATCCGCTGGTGGACCACATCGCCGGAGAGAAGGCGAAGGCCTTGGTGCAGCGTGAGAAGGATGCTGTAGCCGTCAAGGACAAAGGAATGCAGAAAGAGCAAGAGTTGGGTCGTGGCAATGCCGAGGCGGTGAAGCCGGAATCATTGACAGAATCGAGAGAGCCGCAAGCTTCTGCAGAGAAGCCGCCAGACGAGCAACTTCGAGGCCCCCATATGGTAGTATGAGAAGGGGGACGGTTACCAACGGAGCCTTCTCGCCGTTTCAGCCTGGGTTCCGGTCTGCACACCCGCCATTCGAGAAGAGACGAGGATGTCCTGCCATCCCGCCGGGTCTACGGCTCATTACTGTAGGTGCATTGTAGTCGCATGGTTGGCGGTATCCTATTGATGGCCGACTCTGCGTCCAGGTAGGTTAGGCGTCACTCTCTGCTTGTTCATACTATAGCGGCACAGCCGTCCTGGCCTCCTATTCCAGGTTTCTGCTGCAAGCGCCATTACCGTCCTTTGTGTTTATCTCTGTCTTGGGTCGAGGCCAACAACCGTCCTTGTTGAGTCCGATTCTCGAGCTACAGTACTCCGTACGTGGCACAATTGTTGTCAACAAAGCCGTCTTGTCCTCCCCATATATTGCCTCAACGACCGTCACATTCTAACTCGACAAAGCAGAGACAATGAATACCGCGATCGCAACAAAGAAGCTTTTCAAGAACAGGCACAGTGCTGAAAGAATCTTTGACTTGTCCTTAGCCGTGGGTTTAAAAAATGCTAACCTCCTGCAACAATGTCCGCAGCAGCAGCACCAGACAGCTCTCAAGTATCAGTCACACAAAATACAATCCTCTATATCCTTGCATCACGCACTCTCCTATCCCGCCATACGACCCTCGAAAACATACGCGCCCACGCAAGAGACGATGAAGACGATCTTCTCCTTAATATTCCTCTCTCTTTCCTCGCTCGGGGCCGCCCTGCCCCATCCTCACCCTCATCCCGACCCCCAGCCATTGCAAACATACACCTCCGCCGGACAATGCACCGCGGCCGGCCAATTTCTTTGTCTCTCAGCCACCACATTCGCCATATGCGACGCCAGTCTGACCGGCACAGTCCAGCACCTGGCACTGGGTGACTACTCGCGGTGTGGCACCGGCAGCGGCACCGACAGCGGCAGTTCCGGGGAACCAGGCAACTCGGCCGCCGGCGTCGGCGTCGGCGTCAGCGTCAGCGTCAGCACACATACAAACTACGTGACAGTCACGGCCACACCAACCCGACTCCCACCGGGCGTCGACGCCTCCTCCTCCCCCTCCTCCTCCCATGACCAGCACCAAAGTCGTGACTGTGGGCAAAAGTGCAAGTCGCACTTTCGCCGGCACCATGACTGTGGCTGGGATAAGCGTCGTTCCCACGCGGATTGTGAGTGCGAGTGGGTCACCGCCGCCGCCGCCGCTGCCGAAGAAGACTTGAGTCAAACGTACTGTACGGAGTAGAGACTTCTGAATGGAATGGGATGGTCTGGTCGGTAGGTAGATAAATCGACGACTGCGGTGACAGGGACTGTAGCACCTGGTTCTTAGCACCGGTATTGACCTTCAGGTATGTACGGAGTACTTCACATAGACTCCTGGTACATGATTCACCTTCTACGATGAATCAGCAAGCAAGCAAGCAAGCAAGCACTAGAACCAGCACCGAGACGGTGCACTTCTACTGTACTGTAGCAACAGCTCTGATTGATGATGGGGGGCGGCACTCATTTTGTGCCATACCATATTTTTTGTCGCCAACAAATATGTTGGGGACCATCCCGAGTCGTGATTTCTTCACACCACCCAGCATAAATAAGGGTAGCTATGTATGTCTATTCACGTCACTTCACGAACCGTATGTATCGAATCGGTAGCTAATATGTCTATTCACTTCACAAACGATATGTATCGAATCCGTAACTGGCAACACCTTTCAAAATACCTAGGTAGATACCTAGGTAGGTACCTAGGTAGGTGCCTAGGTAGATTGGTCCAGCGTCATGAGTCGAAAAGCATTACTACTGTACTTGTACTGAGTCAGCACGACAGCGCGAGCGATCAAGTCTCCATAGTTAGTACTGTATGTATCCCTTCGTATTCCATGATTAATATCCAAACCCTGTTCCAGGCTGTTTGAGACTGTTCAAGGTGTTCAATGTGAGACCCCAGGTGGATACTCAGTCGTGTGGTTATGGGTACGTAGGGGGGATAGTCCCTCAGGACCCTAGATCGCCTGATAGCTTCAGTATCGTAATGGCATCTTACCCCTACCTGGCCTCCTTACTACACCTTGTCCATCAGGTTCATGACATTCAACGTAGTTACGGTGTTCAAGGCGTTTGCGGTGTTCAAGGTCTTTACGGTTTTCAAGGCTTCTTCAACCGCTGCATGCTCAGGTCCAAGGCCACATCACACATGCCGCCGTCGACAAAGTCATCCATCAGCACAAGCAGTTGATCTTGCGGCAGCTTCTCCAGCGCCTTGTCCTTGACCCATGGCATCGTCTTACTGTCACAGATGGCCTTGGTGGCGAGCAACCACGAATTCGACGCCGTCGCCGCAATGGCCGAGAACCAGATCTTCAGCCCGAGATTCGTCGCGGTGGCTTGACACTGGATGTTGGTAAACGCCTTGCCGTCCTGTTGGGCGGTGGAAATGTTGTTGAACTGCGCGATGATCGAGTCCCCGTTCAGTGTGGCGTTGGCCTGGTCCGAGTAGATGTTATAGTTGTCGACGTTCTGGATCACCAGCAGTCGCCTTTGCGTTCTTCGTAGTTCGTCGATGGTCTGTGAGGTCATTTCTTGGAGGTGGCCGATTTGGAGCGCGCCGCCCTGAGCTGCCTTGAGCGCTTCACTCAGATGGCGGTTGAGGTCGTCGGGCGTAGGACGGGCGCACTCGGCCGGCACACCGTCCCAGCGGAGGTGGACCACCACGATTTCTCCCGGATTGCGCACGAGGAAGGCGACGCAGTCGTCCAGAAAGTCGTTGTACCCCATCCCCGGGATCGGGCCATGCATGAAGAACAATTTGTCCTTCATGTCCTGAAGCTGTGGCAGTCCACGAAACGCTTGGTGTAAGTAAGCTGGTCGGAATTCGAAGTAGCGCGCCCCGATGGCCAGCATGGACTGTAGCTCGTCCTTCTGCGTGATCGAAGAGCTCTGGATCACGTTGGGTATCAGAGGGCCTTTGAGGATGTCTGCTATCTGCAGATCTTTGCCTGCGGGCGCAATTGACTCGACCACCTGCAGAGTGAAATTAGCCGCGTGCTTGCGCGTACTGTACTGGAGAAGAAGCTCTCTGGGAATTGCATCAGGCTCTGCGACGTTGCTGAGGAGTGCCTCACCCTTGCAAACGCTGCTCCGAATCTCTGGAACAATATATCTGAAGTGTGCAAGCTGTTCATGCCGACATCGTGCGCGGCCGGCAGAACAAGGCGCCTGAAGGGCTTCGCCGCAGCTACGGACCCCAACGGTGCAATGGTGGACATCCATGCCGAGATATTCGGACTGACCGTTACATAGAACTGATCCCAGTACGGAAGGCCGGCGATGTTGCCCTTGTGAGGCGCATCGTAGAAACAGTGCGTCACACAAATGTCGTTGCTGATCAACGAGGTCTGGTCGACCAGGGTCGTCATGGTCCCCTGGCCCAGTGTTCCAGTGATGGCGTTGATCTCGACCCATTTGTTGAAGACTTCACGGCCATTTTGCAGAACCCGACAACGAAAGATGCCGTTGAAATAGGGCGGAGTCGTGTCCTTGCGCTCGAGCTCGAGATGGTCAATCGTGAACCGCTTCATGCCCGATTTGATCAGTGGCGGTTTTCCAGGAACAGAGAGCTCGATCGAACATCCAGAGACACAGTTGTAGGTATAGCATTGTATGCCTTTCGAGGGGTTCAGAAAGTCAATGTCTGGTAGCTTCAACTGGGACACATCCAACCCGGCCATGGCGTCCTCTTTACCGTGCATCGCGGCAGAACCAGAACATGCGGACGGTATGGTAGATGATCGTGGGCTTCGAGCGCACGTCTTCCTCCGAGTAGGTAAATACCCAATGTCGTAGCTATGCTCACCGACAAGCTGATAGGCCCGGTACAGCCATCGTCTTTGGGTCAATGCATGGCTTGCGCGAGGGTGACTCTTGTGAGCAAGCGAGCTGAATCCGAGCTCGGACGACGACTTATGGTGACGTTGACTCGATGACAGCGAAGCATTCCACGCGGCGTCCGTCCCGAACTGGTCAAGGTTTTAGTCAAATCAGCCTGTAGCGACGGGCCACGTCAGGGGTCGAATGCTCAGGAGCGTGGCGCCGCGAGGAACCAAGCAACCCAACGACCTCAGAAGTGGAAAGCGAGCTGAAGCCAAACCCGTCGGCTCGAAATGGTCCAGCGGACCCTCCGCCTGATAACTGTGGCCTCTAGACCTCCACGAGATAGGGTGCCAGGAAGCCTGGGTCGGCAAGGATCGAAGCTGTTATTGTGGGAGAGGTGATTATATCAATTCCGAATTCCCCGAGGCTATCCCAGCACTATAGCGCTCTTGTTCTAGCCCTCATACGAATGAATATAATCCGAGCAGTAGTGATAACTATACTTTTGCATGAAGCTCCGGAGTGGCGATCTGTATCCGTCTTCCAAGCTTGTGCGCCAGAACTTTCACGCTTCAACTCTTCTGCTTCCTCTTCATCATGACAGCCTTGAATGGATTCTTCGCCTTGAACCTTAAGAAAGTACATGCGTAGACGACAGCATAGTTGAACATGATGAACGCGACGAAGATGCCAAAGTCCCGCCAGATATGGGAATAGAAGACGGAAAACCCACGTCCGAACTCGTCGCCCGTCGCATATTGGCAGAACTCGCACAGTCCCTCCGATCCCACCTGGACATAGCCTCCGGCTTGGCTGATGTACTGTCGCGTGTACGATTGACAGGTCTGGCCGGGGGGTGCGCGGAATCGGGCAAATTCCCCCTGATTGCATCGGACAGGTTTATTGTGGATTATGGCTGCCAGCATTGCTTCGAGGAGGTAGTGAAACGGTGTGAGCCAGTACATCCAACTTCGCCAGAAATACGGCAACTGTGCGGGCGGGACGACCACACCACAGAAGCTGACCACGAAAAGGAAGAACAATGGCACCAGTAGACTGGCGAGGAGTTCGTTGGGCGAGAGCGAGGCGATAGCCTGTCCGAAACTGACATAATACAGCTCGAAGAGCAGGATGTTCAGCAACAGGAAGCCAGAGGTGAAGCCAGAGGTCGACGACCGGTACCCGGCGATGCCCCACCACCAGCAACAGTAGAAGATAGCTCCGGCGAGCAAGGAGTAAGGGATCTCGACCAAGACCGAGCCGGTAGTCCAGGCAAACCAGCTGTAGATCTTGGCGTTGTTCTCCCGCGACTCGAAGATGTTCCGAGACTTGAGGAAGACCGGTTGTAACTGTTGGATGAGGGGCGGAGAAATGGTGAGCACCAGGAACACTGCAAACAGGCGGGATTGCATGTCGATCGAGGCGAAGCCAAGGTGGTAGAAGGTGAAGCAGATGAAAAGCCCCGTCATGATGTGAAGCATGAACTTGCCAACGATATAGTTAGGGGTGCGCTGCACGATATCAGTCACAAAGCACAAACCAAACTCAAAAGGGGGGGGGGACACCTGGGACTCACCCAATACGCCACAAATGATCTCTTGACCACAGCCAGAGTCTGTGTCGTAAGTGGCATGGCGTACTCTCGGTCGTCTGTCACGTTCTTGCTATGCTCGACATGCTTTCGGCGTTCAATCATTTCGGTGATCTCGTTGGATCGTTCTTGATAGTTCCTGCTCTGTTCCCAAACATCGCCCCAGTCTTTGCCCTTATAGTTGGGATCGCCAGCACCAATCGCCTCCAGCATGTACTCTGCTGGGTTCGCATCAGCCGGACACTTGGGCCCACCATTCTCTTCAAAGTAGTGTATGAGGTCATGCGAATCATGGCCAAGCGGGCCATGATAGACAACTCGGCCCCCAGCCTTGAGTAAGATGAGCTCGTCGAAATGCTCGAACAAGACGGCCGATGGCTGGTGGATAGTACAGAGAATGGCCTGACCAGCATCGGCCAGTTTCCGAAGAAACCGAACAATGTTGAAGGCTGCCCCGGAATCGAGCCCAGAAGTCGGTTCATCTAGGAACATGAGCAGCTCCGGCTTGCTGGCGAGCTCAACACCGATGGTCAACCGCTTTCTCTGTTCTTGATTCAGTCCTTCGCCAATCTGCCCAATAGTGGCGCCCGCGATATCCCGCATTTCCAAAAGGTCGATGATAGTCTCGCAGTAGCTGTACTTTTCCTCAATCGACACCTCTTTAGGCTGACGAAGTAGGGCCGAGAACTGCAGTGCTTCCCTGACCGTCGAGGTGGCCTCATGGATATCCATTTGCTCGGCAAATCCGGTGGCTCGCTGAAACGACTTGGGCAGCTGTCGGCCGTCCACAAGGAACTCGCCCGTCACCGTGCCAAAATTGAGGCGCTGCGCCAATGCATTGAGAAGAGTTGTCTTCCCAGCACCACTCGCGCCCATCAACGCAGTGAGTTTCCCAGGACGAACATACCCTTGCACATTCTGCAGAAGCTTCCGTTCGCCCTTCTCGTATGGAATCACGTAATTGATATCCCGAAAGGTGTAGACTGTCTCGTTCTTCGCGACCTGATCAACTGGGCCGTCGTCCTGTTTTGTGTTTGGTAGCTCCTTGCTTTCACTTTCCGGACTCATCATCTTTTCCACCGTGGTCTCTTGTGTAGAGCTGCGAGATTCTTCATCACCATCTGCTTTCTTTTCTCTTCCACCAGTCTCAATGGATTCTTCCATCCTCTTCGGAACTTGACCACGTTTAAAGACGGTGATGGCGCCGCCTCCGGCGTTTGGCTTCATGATCTCCATCCCGAAGGCGGTGACTGCGAGAAAAAAAGCGAAGAAGGCCCAGAGAATGCCAAAATTTCGCCACAAATGCGAGCGGCTGTACCCAAAGGCTTGTTGAATGTAACGGGCACCATCGACGTAGGTCCGTCCAGGCTGGCTACCAGCCAATGTACACGACTGATACTGAGGTGAGACATCCGGACCTTGTGGCACAAGGCTCGGCGGTACACAGTCCATGATGAGACCCGTGAACTCGTTCGACATGAGACACTCGAAGCCGTACTGTATCCAATTGATCCTTCGAAGCCAGCTGAACCAGACTCGCATTTGTTCAGGTGGGATAAGATAGCCCGTATATACCACCAAAATCTGGATCGAGACGCCGGTAAAGCGCGTCGCGTCGTCGAGGGTTTTGCACAGAGCGGAAATGGCGCGGAAAAAGGCATAGGTGACCATCGTGACGATCCAAATGATAAGACAGGAGATGAAGAATTGAGAAGCGGAGGCAGCAAGCCCACCCATCCAGTATATGATGATGTTGAATAAGAGGACTTGAATGGCAACCAACGGTACGTCGACCACCGTTTGCGCGAGAGCATAGGCTGCGGGGCGGTAGAAGGAAAACGATTTGTGCTTCAGCAAGATCGGTTTCGATGCGAAAGCGGCCGTCATTTCGGCCAGGGCCAAAAGGGCATTGAAGAGGAGGACGAGGAAGATAGCGCCACCTCTCGGAAAGGCACCAGCAGTTGTCTTTGGCATCTGAAAGAACAAGCTGCCGACGATAAGTCCCTGTTAACAGGTCAATCACACACCAGATACTTGGAGAATACAGGCCCGTACCTGGAAAACAATACCGCCCCATTTGCCGACCAACGAGGCTCGATCGCCCAGCATGACAAGGAATTGTCGATGGGTGCATGCAAGCACCTGCTTGTGGAAGGGAATCGCATAATTCTTCTTCTTGTTTTTCTTGGACCTATTTTCGTGACGGACAGTCCGTTGTTCCTCCAGGTGAGCCTCGAAATCTCGGATGTCTTCTAGATTGCGTTGGTAGGCATCCGAATTCCGGTACAAGGACGCAAAGTCGTTTGCGTTTCGAGGAATCCGATTTTCCCAACCTTCCCGGACAGCTCTTTCGTGAGCGTCGGTCACTGAAGTGAGGAAGTCGGCAGTCGTCCATCGCGGCTTGCACTCGAAACCAAGGTCCATGAAGTATTGCTTCGCACGATCTGCTGGTCCAAAGTACAGACACTTCCCCTCGTGAATGAGCAGGACTTTGTCAACCAATTCGTATAGGGATTCTCCGGCTTGGTACAGAGAAACTGCAGTCGAGGTGTGTGCCATATTCGTGAGAGCTCGAATAGACTGAACGTATTCCAGAGCAGTACTGGCGTCGAGGCCCCGACTCGAGTTGTCCCAGCCCTGAACAGAGGCTCTGGTAATCATGGCTGTAGCGATGTCAGCAAGTCATGACCCTCTTGGACGTATAGCCTACCTTCTGCTATGCTCACACGCTTCTTTTCTCCGCCAGATACTCCTCGGACGAATTGATCACCAACTTTGGTGCCGAGGGTATGCTCGATCCAAAACAACTTGGTCACGACCCTCAAGAATTCTTTCATATAGTCTGCCCGAGACTCACCTTCCAATCTCGATTCCTTACCTGGTGTCCGGGTCTGAAGAGCAAACATCAAGGTACGCTTGACCGTCAGAGTAGGATAGTGCAGATCGTCTTCGGGGTTGTAGATGACTTCTCCTCGAAAGTCCTTTCTCATGGTCTTGGCATCAGTACCGCCGTAAGTGACATCCCCTTCAACTGCTTCGAAACCCTCACGCTGATTGCAGAACGTCTTCAGGAATGTCGAACAACCAGACCCAGGTCTGCCCAGAACCAGTAGCATCTCGCCCGGTCTGACGCAACCATCGAAATGGCTGAGAAGTTCACGGACTGGGGGCTTGCCACCCGCAGCTTTGGCACCTTTTGTAAAAAGGGTCCTCAGCGCCCGAGGTAGGCCCAGGAATATGTCGCCAACTGTTGGCTGCAGACTGGCACCGAGTCCGACACCCTTGACTGTTAGATCACGGAAGATGACACCACTGTGACGAGTCTTCTCCTCTTCGCTATGTTCTTGTCGAGCTTTGCCAAACATGCGGGACATGAGTCTCTCTATTTCATCATTCTCTTCCTGGAGCTCGCCATGAGATTTGCCTGAGGCACTGGTCCGCCGGCGTGACAAGGCGGTGAACAGGTCATCCTCAGTCTGTATGCTCTTCCGCTGATGTAGACCCGGGCGCTTTTCCCGAGCTGATGGTGTCGTCGTTAGAGGCTCGAATCTGGAGTCGCGTCTTTCTGTCGGAGAATCATCCGATGTGCCTGTCGAGAACGAGCTCGAGGACAATGGGCGGGCATGGGAGTTGTTGGTGTCCTCGCGCGAAGCATTGCTTGAAGAGTTGACAGCTGTGGCGTCCTTGCTGAACGAAGGTGTCCCCTGGTCTTGAACCTCGGCCGATGAAGTCGCGGTAAAGTGTGCGCGTGGCGGGGGCTGAGGTAAGTTCTCTGACGCTGTGGAGCAATTCGACGTGTCTTCGATAGAACCTTGTGGATGGTCTTGTTGAGCGCGTTGCTGGTTGGGAGTATATGGCTGACCCGTAGATGATTCCGCGCGGGCTGAAAGAGAGCCACCAGGATTGCTCCTATCTGTCGGAGCCGGCTGGTCCATGGTGGATTAAGGACCGCAAAGGTATAAGTCGCTGTGCGTTTGTATCTCAGGTGAGGTCAATTTGAGCCACACGACACCATCATGAGAGCTGAAGAAACAGACGGCTATTGCGGGATAAATACTGCAGGAATAACATGCGAGTCCGTAGGAATGAAGCCCACAGGTCGGTGATACGGTGATACAGTGACAGCCTACCTGACAAGAAGCCGTTTGAAGAGAAGAAAGGCTTCGAGAGAATACAGTTGTCACTGCCATATGGTGCGTGCTTGCATCGTCGACGTAAGTACGAGTACGAATGCTCCAGGTGGGACCCGGCGCAGCTGGGGAAGGCGCAGCCCGCGACTGCTGGATCTGTGTGATCCATTCCGAGATGAGAGCATAACTGGTCCGGGGGGGGAAAGGTAGACGCGATAGACTGGCACGATGGTTGGATGAACTGCTTGTTTGTTATGGCCAAGCCGTGTCTATGACGAGATCTTCCTGTCGTTCGGATCTCCAACATGCCGATCCCGGCGCATCTGCCAAGGCTGCAGCCATCAAGCCTCGCAGATGGAGATGGAGATGGACTGGTGGTGACGACTCGATATGCGCTCTTGTCGGCTTCGGAGGTGTTCGCTCCGAATACCCGCGCGTCTTGGCCTCCAGAATTTCAGCCGGCCCGTCGCACATCCACCTGTAGCTGGAGTAGGATGCGAATCGTACGGTGTCCAGACAGATACGCCAGAGCAGCAAAGAGACGGAGCGCCTGCCGAGGCCAGAGTGGCTTCCATCTACCTCAGACGACTCTGGCGGCAGGTTTCCTCGCGAAAAAGTCACTCATCTTCTTCATCCCGGAGACATCGACCTTTTTCAATGCGCGCACCCCGTTGGATTCTCCCAACCTCTTCCGTTTGTCCTCTTCCTCCTGTTTCCTCTTCTTCTCGGCTCTTAGCTCGGCGGTCTCATCGTCTTCCAAACCCCTCTTCCGGCTGAAATCGCTGATAGACCTTGACAATAATGCTTCGGCTCGGAGTGCTGCTAGCGAACTAAGGTGACCATCGAGAGGAGCAAAATCGATCGGGGATCCTTTGGCAGCAAGCCGGGCTCTTATCCTGTCCGCTATCGCGTTTGGCACGTAGGATTCAAGGAGGAAGTCTAACACAGTCCGTCTCTTTTGCAGCTCAAGTAGCTCCGGAGATATCGTTTCGGGGACGACTGTGCTTACGGAGGTGGCGGTTGAGGCTTCTGAAAATACCGCCGAGGGTGCTATGCTTGCAGCAGAAGACTGAGACTCGAACACCTCCGAGGCACTTTCGTCGTCTTCCTCATCGTCTGGCGCTGTTGCATTTGACTTGGTTTTAATTGCGGATATGGTCGTGTCTTCCCGTTTGACGCTCAGTATAGGTGCTTCCAAGGCTCTCGTCACGAACTTCTCTTCCAACGTAGAGGGCAAACCCCGTGCCATGGCAGCATCAGCTTTCTGTATCAGCATCCGCAGTACTTTGTCTTCACTGAATCTGAACATTTGCTCATCTCCTGCTTGTATGGTGTCGCAAAACCGGGACATTGCCTCCTCCACCATACGTCTGCCATGTTCGAGCAAGTATCTCAGGTGTTTGTTCTCACGCATGTGCTCCTCAAGCAAGTCGTCGATTGGCTGGAATAGGTTTCTGCCTGTAACGAGGGGTAGGATAATGAAAGCAAGGTCAAACGGCGTTGCGACGAAGAACTCGGCGGTCTTGCTGACATAGCCCTCCTCACAAGAGAGACTCGCTTCAGTTGCAGCTTGGGACTGGTCTAAGTGATCTGCTACGTGACTCTCGGCGCGATCAGGTTCGAGTGGTGTGAACAGTAGACTCCGGGGATCTGCGGAGGGTGGGCTGACTTTTGTGAAGTGATATAGCCCTTTTTCCGGGCAAAACAAGAACCGCTGAGCGTCCGGGTCGCGGGGATGGCGCAAGAGTATGAAGCGGGATTGAGTGGGTGTGTCTTTCGGGAGGATGAAATGCTTTAACGGATTTTGTTGTGGGCTGTCAGTGGCAGCGTTCGTCTTGGAGGAGGATTTCTTGACTGGACTCTTGGAGCCTGAGCGTGTTGTGATTGCCATGATGACCCTAAGTCGTCCCCTGTGCACGGTATTGGAGTCGTGGTAATAAGTACAAGTATGCCGTTGGATGCAGAGACTTGCTCGCTTGACAGTCGGCCTTTCACCCCTCGCAGCCTCGCGACACGCGTGCTCAGCGCGTCACGGCCAGCCAATCGGGGTCCAGCCTTCTCCGCAATCCATCGTTTTGTGTTCACTTGAAACTGTGTGTTGAAGACTGTCACAGAAATGAGTAGGTGTATGAACTCAAGCGCATGGTCGTTGCAGAGCCATTGGCGGAGTCCTTCCCACTTCACAAAGGATTGAGTCTGCTCTAGCTGGGGCCTAATCCACCTGAACAAACACCAGACACTTTCAACCCTGAATCAAGTCTCCCAAGGATGTCTTCTGGTGGACCATGGCCTCCAGTCTCACCTCATGCGGCGCTGCTGAGTTCTCCAAGTGGCCGCAAGAAGTACGAAGCCTATAAGAATGATACATCGTCAATGCAGCGCTCAGCGACAACACCTAGCCTGGTGGACAGACTGCGAGCGGCACGGACGAACAATGATTTCCCCCCTCAACACGAGAGTCCTGAGGATGACGAGGATGAAGAGACGCTACAACTGAAGCTAGCAGCGATTGAGGCAAAGTTGAAGCTGAAGAAGCTGCAAAAAGACAAAGCTCGCGCTGCAACACCAGGAAGGGCCTCCTCCAGGCCTGGTTCGGCCCATGGACCGCCGGCTCCTCAAGTTGAGGTCAAAGCCTCCCCTACCAAACGAATACAGGCTACACTTCCAAAGTCACCATCTCGTGTCTTGCTGGGTATTGATAAGGGAATACGTGGCGCCGACATTTCGCTCAAAAGAGCCAGTACCGTCACAGGGAACCGTTCCATGATCAACTCATCAACCACCCTCACCGACCGACCTACCTCTCGGTCTTCAGCATTTAACTCGACTCGCTCTGCAACTTCCACTCGGACAGCCACCAGCAGCGAGTGCAGGAAGACATTCAGTGAACGTATGACCGAAGCTCGAGAACGGGAAACCACCATCGAACGACGCCGTGCGACAACAGTCCAAAACCGCCGGAGAGGTTTCGTTTTGAATCAGGATGAGCTCGAGAGCTATCGAACAGCAGCGGCCGAAACACGTGGGCAGGGAGCCTCGAAATCACCCACGCGACAATACTTTGAGTACAGCCGCGACCAAGTTCTCACCGCTGCAGCAGAAGCACACAGCGGCACGCAACATCTTAAAAAGAGTCGAACCATGCCTGACCTGCGAGCTTCTCCTTCAAAGGACACGGGCCAGCCCTCAAGACATGAAGGAGCCGCCAACTTGTTCGAAGACTTCTCCGGCTTACACCTGACCTCCCGAGTCCTTCCACATTCTTTCCTCAGACGCACCCTTCCCACCGAGACATTCACAATCTACCGTATTCCCGACCTACTCAAGAACGTGCAATCCCCCGACTACGAACTCCCGGAAACAGTGTGCGACTACGTGGTTTTCGCCGTCATTGCCTCCAAATCCTCCCCCATGGACCACAAGAAGATTCCCAACCAACGAGATCCCGACAAATCCACCGTTGGCACGAGGGACTGGGAGAAACGATGGGACGATGGCTCGCACAACAGCCGACGCTTCATGGCCATCACCCTTACAGACTTGGCCTGGACAATTGACCTGTACTTATTTGGCACGGCGCTACCGCGGTACCACCGCCTCACTCCTGGCACGGTTGTAGCGATCCTCAACCCGGGCATAATGCCGCCCAAGCCAGGAAAATCCGACACCGGGGCATTCTCCCTGTCGCTGTCCGACGACAGCGACACAGTTCTCGAGATCGGCCACGCGCGAGACTTGGGCTACTGCAAAACGCTGAAGAAGGACGGCAAGGAATGTGGCAGCTGGGTCAACACCGCGAAGACGGACATCTGTGAGTGGCACCTGAACGCCGAGATCCAGCGAACCAAGGCCGGGAGGATGGGCGTCAACACCGGGTCCAACGGGTTTGGAAGGCGGGAGAATCGGCCGATGACGAGGAATGAGGATCGCGCCCACAAGGGGTTGCTGAACAGAGATGGGAGAAAATTCGACCGCGAGACCGGCGCACATTATTACATCGCCACTACGGGACCGAAGGGTGGCGGCGGCGCGGCGCGTGATACTGGTCGTGGTGGTGCCGCCAGTCCGGACGACCCGTTCATTCAGGCCGTCGAGGGAGAATTATCCCGACCGAGCGACCGGAATGCCCGCCTGCGGAGACGCCTGGCCGCGCAAGCCAAAGAGAGGGAGATTGCCGAGAAGCTCGGCTCGAGAGAACACGGCGGGTTCGGATTCGACAGTGCTGGCGCCGAGTATTTGCGTCGCAAAGCGAAACAACTCGGCGAAGACAACAAAATAAAGGCTGTCGGCGACAACGGTCTGGACGATGCCTCGAGCAAGGGTTCTGCCGCGATATCAATGGCCATCCTTTCCAGCGGGAGTACTACGAAGGAGAATCGAAAGCGCACCGCTGCAGATGTCCGTCTGTCGCCAGTCAAGAAAACACGTTTCGTCACGGCCAAGGGCATCCGCGAGGCTGGAAGAGACAGTCTGGGCGCACCAGGTCACACAGTGGCCGCTCACGGTAGTGACAGTGAGGACGAGTTGGAGATTGTATGAGTGTTTGCTTACCAGTGTATGAGAATCACGAATTTTGGTTATCCCTGTCCGCGGTCGGCAAGTCAGCAGGTTCAAATAGCCGCCTGATTATGTATTTGGTACAATGAGGCGTCGCGATGCTTTGCACCACCTTCCTTTCCGAAGCAATTGCACCATATGATGTCGAACGATCTGGAGTTTCTTACTCTCTTTTTCGGCTTCAATCTTCTTTCTGCGAGAGGTTCCACTGGAGCCGGGAGAGAGTTTCTGTGGCGCCGGTGGAATCATGCCAGGACGCCATAATTATTCCACCCACCGAATCGATTTGTAAAGCTACTCAGGAATTGCGTTGTTAACCTTGTCAGGAATTAATGCCACTCGAACCGTCACCAGTAGCGACCTCGTCTTCAGCGGTGTCGTTCAGTTGGAAGTCCGAAAGGTTGGCATACTAGTGGTGACCGGTGGCGCGCGCGGCTGGTGATATGTATTCGCGTGGGCTTACCTCGAGCTCGTAAAGGACCCACAAGCGTTGCGAGACGTAAGTAGGTATGTGGTCGTTGCCTCTTGGAACAGCTTCAACTGCTTGTGGACAATCTTCACGTTCGACCACGTGCCAGGACGAAAACATGGGAGGCATGAGAAAAGTCGGGCTTAGTTGGCTGTTCAGACTCGCTCGAGATTTAAAAAGAGTCCCCTCAGCTACTGTCATTGACAAGTTCCAGCACCAAAAAAGATAGTCTAGCACAATGTTTTCCAGGTCTTCTTCCACCATGGCCAGGTCTTCCGGACCCTGCGCTCCTCCTCCAGGATCTGCTGGAGATTCTCGACCTCTCGTCGACCGCTCGTGATATCGATCTCTCCGGCCCGCCTGATCTTCGTCCTATACCACAGCTTGTATCCGAGGTACATGACAATGACGATTGGGGCGGCGAGGTAGACCTCAAAGAACCCCTTGACAAGTTCAGAGGCAGACATTTCGGCATAGCCGACAGGAGCGATACCGGTCCAGAACTGCGCAACGAGGATGAGGCAGTTCATGATCAGGCCGATCCAAGAGCCATAGACTGTAGCCTGTGATTTGAAAGCGAGTTCGTCGAGGGTGTGGCCGGCCATTCGCCAGGCCCTGCGGAAGCGAATATGGCATAAGCAGATCGTTCCCCACGTGAAGATGGCGGCCAGACCACTGATTGCGATCATCCAATTGAAGGCCTCGCCGGATGTGTCCGGTCCAGCCGCAACGATGTAACACAGGAATCCAAGAAGCGACGAGACGATGATAGCAACCAGAGGGCGCCCTTCCCGGTCGACGTAGCCTAAAATCTTGGGGGCCTGACCCATGTCGGCAAGCGCAGCAAGCGTACGGCTTGCACCGTAGACGGATGAGTTTCCAACGGACAGTACGGCGATCAGGATGACGACATTCATGATGGACGGAACGGCATCAATGCCGGCGTTGCGTACCGCGATGACGAAAGGGGAAGCATTGGCATCGGCCGAAGAGTTGCCGTTGAGCAACATTGGATCGTTGGAGGGCACGAGAACGCCGACGACGGTGAGTGACACCATGTAGAAGAGGGCAATGCGCCAGAAGACCTGCTTTACTGCGGTAGGCAGAGCAAGGCGCGGATTCTCCGTCTCAGCAGCGGCAAGACCGACCAATTCGGTTCCACTGAATGAGAATGCGGCAGTCACAAAGACCGAGCAGAGGCCTTTAAACCCGTGATTCTGGGATCTTGTCAGCGGCCGGTAGGGATCCAGAAGCGTCTCGAGAACTCACGAATGCACCCGGATCGTACCAGTAGCGTGCCCCGATATATCCTTGGCTCCCAACTCCACCGGTGTTGATGACAATTCCGAGAATGATGAAGCCAATCACCGCGAGGACTTTGATGATCGAGAAGACGAACTCAGCCTCGCCGTAACCTCTAACGCCAAAGAAATTGATGAGGATGATGGCGACCAGAAAAATAGTGACCCAAGCGGCTCCGTTAGTGCCTCGACTGCCGGGCCAGAAGTCGAGAGTGAGCGATGCGGCAACGATTTCAAGCGGGAGCGTCACGAGCCACTGAAGCGCGTAGCTGAAAGAAACGGTCAGTCTCCCACGTGTCAAGTCAGGTCTCTGTCACTCACTTCCAGCCCATGGCAAATCCCCAAGCTTCGTCCACGAAACGACTGGCGTAGACGGAGAACGCTCCCGCAACAGGATATTGGACTGCAAGTTCGCCGAGAGCATGAGTGGTGCAGTACAAGGTCAGGCCGATCAGACCATATGCGAGAACCAGGGACGCTGGGCCACCGCTTGCGAGGGCAGAGCCAGAACCAACGAATAAGCCGGTGCCTATTGAGCCGCCGATGGCAATCATTTGCAGGTGTCGTTGTTTCAACTTCATGGCCAAGGCTGGCTCTGCGGGAGGTTGATCCTTGAGGATGCGGCCATTGGCGTCGATGGCTTGAGCGGTGACGCGAGCATTGGGGTTCCGTTTGAAGCCGTCGAGGAAGCGACCGACAGCGGTCGAAGCACGAGGATATTCAACCTTGCCCTCGGACACCTCGGAGCTCCCAACAGGGCTACCTGCCCTCGCTTCAAGGTCCTTTTCCATGACAAGTGTCTGTCTGGGGCGCGTAGAGAGAAAGCTAGCGAAGCAATGAATCCGAGGGATGAGGACAGGCACGTACCAGCAGGGGACGCATGGCTCTAAAATAGATGTCTAGCAGTGGGGTTTCGCGCAGGCGTCGGCAAGATGCGATGATCGTCGACGGCGAACAACAAATGAGAGCCATGATGGCGATCAATTACAGCGGAGTCTGTGAAAAAATTCTGTGGGTTGGAACGAGGAAAAACCGCACGAGGAGATACTGCAGGCCGTCCGGCAAGGCTACCTTCTCACTGGTACTGCTACGTTGAGGGTACGCAACCTTAGATAAGCGCACAAGGTGTGGATGGCGTTCTGGAAGGCTATTTGGTTGTGGCAAACACAAAGTTGGGTGGTAGGAGCCGTCTCCGCCGTCAGCCTCATGGACAAGCTCGCTGAGGTGGAGCTGTAGATTGTGGACAAAGGGCGCAGGGTAGCAACCGATCGCTCCGGCGGTGCTCACGGACCCTTGACGGCTCGAAGCCCATGCTAGCAGGCGTTGCACCAATTGCGATAAAAAGGAAACATGTTGCTGGTGGGCGGAATTCTCGTCGAGCTGTGCACAACAAAGCGCCGCATCACCAGAATCTCGGTGTGAGATGAGCGAATTCTCAGGCAGCTGAAGAAAAATTTCGAAATGCGTCCGCCAAGGCGAGGCTGCAGCGGAGAAACGCCGGCTTTCGGAACGGAAAAAACAAGCTCCGCGAATAATGAAATTTCTGGCATCAGCCTCGATGGTCGCAACAGGGTCTGCCTCAAAGCGACCGGCCTACCATTGAGTCGCAGAGCTGCTGTGCTCGATGCTACGAGGTATGCGATGCCGTACGTGGGTAGCATAGCTCATGATAAACTCGGTCCCAATAGCAGCGGAAGAATGCTCTGCCCACATGTACCCGGTATCTTTTTTGTCCCTCACGGTCTGATCTTTCATCCCCACGAAAAGGGGCATGTGCTTCTCTGCAATCGGCTAATGGCTACGTCTCAACCAGTCTTTCTCCTCCGGATGTTGGGACGAATAACCCTGGGGCTCAGTCTCGCTGCCATGTACAACAGCTTTCGGCTTGGTGCCAGGCAGAGCAGGCAGCAACAGGATCTTGACCAATTAACGCGGAGAAGGTTGCAGCGAAAGGAAGTTACGCATCGTATTGCATACGAAGCGTTCACGAAGCGGAAACAGTATTGCCCGGCTTCACAGCTCCAACGGCATATATTACCCATCTCCCTATCTCTCTTCTCGAGCTGAGTCCTCTCGATTGCACACCTGGTACAGAATCCGCTGTCTGAGACAACCGAAACCACAACATGGCCGAAACCTGGAGTCCCCCAAAGGACGGCACCCCATGCTGGATCAATGTCCTGGCAACTGATGTCCAGCGAGGTAAACATCCGCGCCAAATGTCGAACTCTCTGAAAACAGGGCTAACGATTGCCTTTTGCTTGTAGCCAAGGCTTTCTACGGCAATGTGTTCGACTGGCGCTTCAACAGGACAACAACGGCCGATGGACGCACTCTCGATCCAACAGAGATCGCCATGTTCGAGGTTCCTGGTCAGCCCTGCCCCGGTGGTGGAATCACCCGCGTCAGCGAATCCGAGTGGGCCGCCTCGCACGGCAAAGGTGGAGTAGTCCTGTATCTGTATGTGGATGATATCAACTCGTATGAAAAGGTGAACCGTTGTCCATCTGCGCAAGGGTGGTGTACGAGTAGTTGCTGATGGGTGACGTAGAAAATCGTGGAGGCAGGTGGCAAAAGAATGACAGAGATCATGCCAGAAGGTGACATGGCCGTTATGCAGCACTTTGAGGACACAGAGGGCAATTACCTTGGGATTTATAGCATGAAGAAGTAGGAGAAATGGGAGAGGCGGCTGAAGGGAAGACGATCCCTCGCTGTTTTGAGCATATTGTCCAGTACCAGCTGGAACAATGTCGCACTCAGCTTCCATCCGAAAGCTTTCTTGATCTGAAACGAATCGCTCCAGCTGGGAGATCGACCGCAATTGACACGAGCGTTGCAGCTTGGTCCATTTCCAGTGTTTTCCCAACAGTGTAATGCTGGCGACATGAGACGGCCGCAGAGACCTCGGGACGTACTTTGCTCGACAATGTGTGGCCCTTCACAAGACCATTTCTGAGCCTGGTTGAACATCACAATTATTCACGACGAGCACACTCACATGTATTTCAGCATTTCTTGTCTTCCTTGTTCAGATGTGCGCTCGGACCATCGAGTGGCAAGAGCATTGTCCCTCTTCTTTTCGAAAGGTTTGTCACGGCCGTGGGTACGCAGTGATATTCTCGGATAGCGGGCGAGGGATGGGGTCTGGCAGTTGAGGTGACTGCGTCAAACATTGCGGCCATTCTGTAAATAACGATGAACAAGTGGTCGGGCGTCGGATGGGACGACGCATCCCGACCTACTGGGTACATGCAAAAGCAACCGGTCGTTGTCAAGAAGCGAAGGAATCCATCCCCGACCTAGTGACAGCTGCCAGACCTCTTGCAAGGGCCTGCTTGGACTGCGTCATTGGCCGAGAGTGGGCAAACCCAAAGAGAGCTGCAGGACGGCGCGGTGGCCCCGATTGGAAAAAGGACGTCCGGCGCAGGCGGGCCGCGGGGCAAAAACATGCCAAACTCTGAAGGTTCCTGCGGTAGGTTCATACCCGGAGTCGGAGTTGCGAGGTTCAGAACAATCCAGACGAGGAGTACAGTAGGAAGATGCAACGATAACGGCCTGATGGCAGCAGCCCTGATTCTTCGTGCTGTGCTTGTAATTAACGACTACTCTGTGCTGATCACCTTGATTTCGCTTTGAGGCCGATCCCCTCCAGCCTCGCATCACGTCGTCACCTTTCGCACTCGGCACCGCAGGCAATTTCTTCTGAGACTCGGTAAGCGCGGCAGAGTGCTCGTAAGTCCTGCACAAACTTCGCACTGGGCCCTTAGCTGCAGGTCCCGACGGAATGGATGAATTCGCATCTTCCGCGCCTATCATGGCTGTCCGTTGGCTGCTTGGAGATGATCCTCCCTCTCGCGTGGCAGCTGAACCTTCCGCACAATAAGCCGGCCTAGAGGCGTTCTAAGCTTGATACAGGTGAAAAGGTGGTGACGGTCGCCTGGAAGGCACCAACCACGTCGCCGCCCTCGATTGCTTTCCTTTCGGTGCTCTCTCATCACCCACACCAAAGGTCCCAAGTCCACCTGCTTTTCGATCCCGATACCACCATTCCGCTCCCTTTTGCCCTTCCACACTCTCTAGACATCCCCATCGTCGTTTGCTCGTCGCGAAAACCTTTTTGATCCTTCGTCGCATACCGAAATCTGGCAACTGATAGACACAGAAGCTTCCGAAAGTATCAACACGACCCAGCATCTGTCGCGTCGCAACCCAGTCAACTCGCAGGTAGTCGACTCGATACTGCTCGCGGAGCACCGCCATTTCCCGTCACACTACCCCCAGCCGACTTCCCTCGATCGCGGGTGATGCCATGAAGAGATCCTCTGCTAGCAGCGAACCTACCATTTTCCTTCGGTCCAGCAGCACATGACCATGATTCTCGATCGCAAACGTCGACATCCCCGCTGATGCTATGGCTGCTGCTATGGTCGCGTCGGAATCTTCCCTCAGCAGTCGCGTTTCCCTGATCTCTCTTGACCCGGCCATTGCCAGTCAGATCACCGGGACCACTCGGACAACAACCGCCCCTTCCGCCTCGCAACATGGCTCTAGCCCAAGAAAAAGCACAAAAACGCCCGATACTGAGGTGTCGCGCAAGCATGTGAGGAACAATTCTGCCCCGAGCGTCTCGGATAAGAGGGGACCGACTTCGCTACGGCGCGTGAAGGATAGTACGGAGGTCTTGAGACAGCGCTCTACAAAGTCCTCGAGCAGGAAGGCAAAACAGAGTCTGGAGCCGGTGTCCGACAACGTCCATGGACGCAACTTCATTGTCGGCAATGTCGGGACCGGAGGTGTCCTCTATCTGACTCCTTCAATGCACCAGAAAGCTAACCCGAGCCCTACCTCCGTTGCCTCGCCAGCACAATTGCCATCGACTGCACCAGCCCTGCTTAGCACTGGCGAAACCCCTGCTCTACCGAAAGAAAGGGCGTCTACCAGCAGGTCAGAGTCATCTTCCCAATCTCGACGAACCGCCTCGAAGCGATCAGCTAGGCCTTCGCGAAGACCCGCCGTCGTTCTCAACCATGGTCGGTCGCAGTCGTTCTCCACCGTCGAAGAGCACCGGCAGTCGCTGCTTGGGCCACAGGCCCGGACCGTAAGAATCGTCATACATCGCCCAGAAACAGCGAGACCGAGCACATCGCAAGATTCCACAAGGGAGCCCGCGCCAGAGCTGCATCCAACTCTGGAAGTTCCTATTCCACATTACCGCATCGGTACTTTCCGTCTGAGTTCCAATGGAACGCCCATGCTGCGGGGTTCTTCCTACACACCGGCCTCTGCCACGCCATCCGATGTTACGCCTACTACAGCGATCATGCAGGCAGAAGGTTACTTTGGCGGGCCTCCGCCTGCCAGCCTCAAAGCATTCGCTGGTCTCGAACCAAAGGAGACGGGCGCCATGGATGCTGCCTCCCTCCGACCACCGATGCCATTTCTGTCCCAGGGCACGTCTGCACCGACTGCCAGTTTGCCCAGTATGGTCCAACCGGAAGTATTTGACGACCTGACCCAGATCTACGACGATCCCTCCGTCGTCCGGTATTGCCAGAACGTGAGAGAGATCACAGCAGCTACCCCCGCCCGCATCATCGCTCAGATTTCGTCCGATTCATTCATGGACTACGACCTTGTGTCAGACTTCTTCCTCACATTCAGGTCATACATGTCCACCTATCAGGTGCTCGATCTGCTGCTTGCGCGACTGAGGTGGGCTATTGGTCGACTGGAAGACGATGGACGGATCATCCGAGTCCGCACCTTCGCTGCTCTTCGACATTGGATCCTCAACTACTTCATGGACGACTTCTTTCTCGATCGCCGCCTGAGGACACGCTTCTGTAGAGAGGTCAACAGATTGTACCTCGACGTCAAGGCGAGTCCGAAGCATGGGTTTAGTGATCTCAAGCTGTTGCGCGACTTGAAACGATGCTGGAATGGACGTTGTTCGTTGTGCTGGGATCCCGAGGACTTCGACTTGGACGGCGACCAGGACGAAGAGATTCATCCTGGAGGAGACGCGGACGATGACAGTACGCCGAAGTTGCAAACTACTATACAGCCTCCCCACATAAGACCCGAGTCCCCTCAAACTCCCGTGCTAAGAGGGCCGACTCACAGTTGGTTCGATCCAGACGCTGTCCTCAGACCCAGCCACGAACGCCAGGAGTCTAACAATTCGGGCCTCTTGAGTGACGGCAGCCTTCAAGCGAGTTCCTGCTTCGTCCCGAGGAACATTCTCCGGCCTGGCACCGATGACGAAGCTGCGCGGTCGAGAGCTCGCCATCCAGTTTCCGTCCAGTTGCGGCGAAAAAACGCTCCAGCGAATCTGCAAGTCATCACCCAACCGACAGCGGCACCGAAGTCGCTTGGCCATAGAAAAGGAGCAAGTTCAATCGATAGTAACCGAGAACCGACTCCACGCAAAGCCCAAGCTGACCCGCCAGTGCCCACGATAGATGAAGGCAGTATCATTCGGGGGCTGCTGTACAGCCCAAGCGCCCCGTTCGTACAGATCGCTTCCTCCCACTCGACCCAGTCGCTCGACAGGAGTGACACGTTACGAGTCGGCTCCAGAAGAGAGCCGGGTGGTACACAGTCAGCTGCACAACCTCCTGCGAGAAACATTTTTGGGTCATTACGGAAGGTGCTTGGAAACAAGCATGGCCAGCTTGATGTGACGCTTCTCACGGTCTCACAATCCGCCCAAGAAGTCCCCATTCGAGATCAAACATCACAGCTGCCGCTCAACATCTCCAAGTCCCACGATGAACTCCGGAACAAGACAACAGCAGGCATGCCGAGAAAAGGCGAAGTCCGTATTGACCTTCTCTCGGCAGCAGTCTGCCAGAATTACGAGACAAAGTTTCCTTCCAAGCATCGGATAACCTACGGACCACTTTTCGCCACGAATCCTGGTCTACGACCAGCTACGTCGAGCCAGGAAAGTCTTAGGCCGCAGCGAGCGGCTAGTCATGCTACTCGTCAAAGCGGTTCCATTTTGATTGTGGATGACACGCGTCTCGATCTGCCGTCGATGTCTGGTGCGCTCGCCATGGCAAATAAGGAGCTTGAAGTTATTCCGGCGCCCGTGCTTGTTGGTCCTCCTGGAACTGCTCTGGACGACCGCAAAGAGAGTTTTGACGCAGTCGCAACACAAAGAAGCTCAAATGTTCTTCCGCAATATGCAGAGACGCCGCCCACACAGGGCAGCCATGATACACTGGAGCAGGTGATGGTAGATTTAGCTGTTCCCGCCAGGACGTCGGAAGACAATGGTTCTATCTCTCCTAGGGTGGAAAGAACGCATTCTCCTACCACAGCCAGTTCCAGAACCGTGAAGGAAGAGCTCAGACACGCCAATACACCTGGAGCCGAGCCTGAACCCACAACCGTTCTGAAGAGCACAGAAGACCAAGACACAGAGGGAGAGGAATCTGAGTCCGAGCTGAAATTGCCAACCCAGACACTTAGGCGGAGACCAGGAGGAGACTTGCGTGGCGTTGAAAACGTGCAAGAGCTGGATCATGGTTTTCATCACACTTCCCTCGATACGGCCAGCGCAGTATCCGATTCCCCCCATGAATCCTTGCTTATCATGAAGACCGAGACTGCCAAGCAGGCTCCTCCAGTGGGGGGTCCCCCGGTTGAGGTTCCCCCAGCGCCCAAGCCTATTTCCTTAATCAACACTCACTCTTCTCAGCACCTTCGCCCATCGTTCGAGGCGGCGGTCGCCGGTTTCTCTGATATTCCCGACGATGAAGATGGTGGGCTCGAGGCTACTCTTTTGAAACTTGAGGGTCGTTATGAAAAGAGGTCACCTCCGATGGAGCAGCATCCCTTGGACGGCAATTCGAGGCGTCGATCGTTGCCCGAGCTTAGCCGTATCTCTCAGTCTCGACTTCAAGAGCATGCAGTCAATGTTGAAGCCCCAGTCGCTGGTACGTCTGTACATGTCCGTACGACGGTAGACGAAATCGCCTCTGAAGAGTCGAACGACGAGCCTCTTACTCCGGAACCAGTGGTGGCCGAAGCCAGGCCAGCAGCCTCGCGGAGGTCTTCGATCTATGGGCTACCGACCGAGTCTGTTGCAGACTCCGAAGAGTCGTATGGTTCTCTGCCGCTCTTGCAACGCGATGAAGGCCAGGAGAGTTCTCCTGTGATACCACATCCAAAACCCCCCACAGATTTACCACTCGTGGCTCCGGGATATTTCCCACAGGACCCGCCGCAGTTGTTTCACCTGCCGAAAGGACCTCCACCGAGTGGTAACAAGCACAGAAACAGCATTCCTCGCCCGGGCACGGCCAACGAGAGCGCGCACTCGTTCCTTCTTGACGAGGACGAGAATCTGTCGGATTTGTCGTCGGAGATTTCTGTCGACATCATAAACTATTCAGAGGTGGTCGACCGCTCGATCTCGCCCATGCTTGCAGCGCCGGGGACTGCTATCTCCGGCCTCGAGATACCGGCGCATCCTTTGACCTATGCGTCGGTCGTGGATCTAAGAATACCCACGCCACCAGAACAGGCCTCGGATCCAATACCGCGGGGCGAGAAACCAGAAAACACCAAGGCGACAAACACACGACAGCCATCTAAGCAGCAGGACTCTCTATCCACTCAGACCTTGGCACGTCTGCCCGCTGGTCCGGCGCACATGCCCTTTATCCTCGCCTGTGACTCGCAAATTCTTGCCCAACAGATGACACTGGTCGAAAAATCCGCATTATGTGAAGTCGAGTGGTCCGATCTGGTGGAGATGCGTTGGGATAGCAAGAATGCCGAGGTTGTAGACTGGGTCGAGTGTCTGTCAAATGGTAATATCCGGGGGATCGACCTGGTCAGCACGCGGTTCAACCTGGTCGTGAAATGGGCACTGTCGGAGATTGTCCTGACCCACGACATCCACGAGCGGGCTCGGGTTATCACCAAGTATATCCACGTGGCAGCACATGCGCGCAGGTTGCACAACTATGCGACGATGTTGCAGCTCACACTTTCCCTCACGTCTACCGATTGCACTCGTCTGTCAAAGACGTGGGCCTTAGTATCGAGCCCAGACAAGTCTCTACTCAAGCACATGGAGACCCTTGCACAGCCTTTGCGCAATTTTCACGACCTGCGAACGGAAATGGAGTCGGCCGACCTCAATGACGGCTGCGTTCCTTTTCTGGGTAAGCGACTTGAGCACGGCTCGTATGCGCGTCTGCTAACCCCTTCACAGGACTGTATATTCGGGACTTGACATATAATGCACAGAAGCCCAGTCACCTCCCCGGCGGTCGTAATAACGAGTCTCTGGTCAACTTCGAGCGTTATCGAAGTACCGCTGTGATTGTCAAGGGGCTACTGCGACTTATCGATGCCAGCTCCAGGTACAATTTCGAACCCGTCCCCGGGATTATTGAGCGATGTCTCTGGCTGGCCGCTCTGAGCGACGATCGAATACGTAGTGCAAGCAAAGCTCTGGAGGAGTAGGGGGAAGGTGTGGACGCCGATAGGGACAGCATAATGGCCGGGTACCGTCAGCTGTCACAGTTTTCATTGTTAGTTTCTGAGCGCTTCAGCAGGCGTGTTTGTCTTTATATGTTGTTATTTGCAGTCTTGCGTCTGGAAACCGGGCCAACCGTTCGAGTACTGGATAAGAGGAGGTTGGTTTGACAGCTGCGTGGGTTCGGGAGGAAATGAACAGGGTTATAGGTGTAGAATGGAAGGACACGAGACTGAAGCGATTCAGCATCCCATGGCGGTATCGTAGATATAATGTTGGATCCCCCCCAGTAGAGATACGCCTCGACTTTCGACTGTTATTCCGTTCAGATTGTTGAACAGAAGGAAAGTGTCAGAGACGGACAGGGGGAAGCCTGGGTTTCAGGTGTTATTGCGAGCTCTACCTTATGCAAGACTCGGCGACTGTCATCGGCATCTCGACCGCCAAGTGTCGCTCTCCATCAGCTGTGCCATGTTGTGGTCAGCGGCTGTGGCGAACGTCAACTCTGTCTTTCACTCCACACCATGTCCCTCGACAAACGGCCAGAGCTACGGCTGTATGACACGGGATCTCGTCAGTGGATCCAGCAGTGGCAGTATGTGCAAAGGATGAGCGTAGCCAGATGCACAAGGAATCCATTGGTCGTCTATGAACAAACCGTGCTCCATCATCTGCGATCCATTGTCTGCAAAGCAACCCTGCCATGACGAGGTATGTTTGATCGACAAAGGACTGGGAATATACGCACCCTGTTCTTGCTGCTCTTCAAAACATTCTCCTACATACCACGGCCAAAACCCTCACCGAGTGGAAGAGTGCCGCATCCCGACTTCCCATTTTCGAGCATAAAGGCCGCGTAGCCGAAGCGGCCGAGGAATCCTGGGAAAACAGACCGGATTATTCGCTCGTGGTATGGTACAGTACCTGGCGTTGATGGCGACATCTGATTATCGATGGCATCATATTGACACGCTCCCTCCAACGTCCAATGGGATATACAGGTACAACCACCATCTCCGCAGCGACGTCGGAGATGTCCCTACCCTGCAGTTAGGAATGGTAAGCAATAGGGTGCGTTCCGATGGTTCCAAGCCGTACAAAAGGCCATGACGGGTCAGATGGGAGCCCAGCAGTCCGGGACAGGTACGCCACCACGGTCAAGCTTTAGCTGGGCAGCATGGCTGAGAAACAGGGTGCCACGGAAGACAAGAGACGTTCGAGTCTGCCAGTCGTCATAGAAAGGCCAGACGACACCACAGTCCACGTTGTCCGTCGTGGTGAAGCAGTCGAAGATGACACGTCGCTGGAGAGTGAGATCGTCGGATACGATGCCGAGCGGATGAAGGCTCGAAGCCTCTTGAGCGAGGCTGAAGAGAAGAAGCTCATGCGAAGGGTCGACTGGCATCTGATGCCATTGTGCAGTATCATGTTCTTGCTCAAGAATATGGACTATCAAAACGTATGGAGCATCGAATCTTGGAATCGGCGTGTTATCGCTTGCTGATTACTGCTCGAGCAACAGGCCGCCAATGCTAGGATCATGAACAGGGGGACTCCCCAGAACATTCTGACACAGCTTCACATGAGCGCGAACGACTACAACTTCATCTCGACCATCTACTACGTGAGTCTCTCCTCTCTACATTGTTTCCCCCAGATCTGACCGCGACAGGTCCCATATATCGTATTTGAGGCGCCCTCCAATCTGTTCATCAAGAAGATACTCCCTTCGAGATGGCAATCCCGCATAGTGGTCTGAGTCTTTGCCGTCCTTCTGCATCACATTGCAAGGCTAAGACGTCGCAGGTCTCGTGGGGCATTGCTATCGCTTGCCACGCCGCGGTCACCAGCAAGGGTGGTCTTTACACCGCACGCTTCTTCCTAGGCATGTGCGAAGCAGGTGTAAGTCGCCGTTCTGCTTGGTCCGTGATTCGAGGCAGACTTTGACGAGTTTGCAGATGTTCCCCGGCGTGCTGTTGCAGATGGTGTACTGGTATCGCCCGGACGAGATGAGCATTCGTCTGCTCTATTTCTATGCCCTTGGCAACTTCTCGCAAGTCATCAGCGGTGTCTTGGCCTATGCTTTCGATACGATATCTGGACGAAGCGGTCTGTCTGGATGGCAGTGGTGTGCTCGATCTCACCTCGTCGCGGAGCTCAACCGGCTAATGTCGTTCCAGGTTGTTTCTTGTTGAAGGGGTCATCACGATCGCTTTTGGCATTGCACTCTTTTTCATCCTGCCGGACTGTAAGTAACGGCGGAGGCTGTTGGCCACCATGGCTGACTTCGACAGTTCCCAAACAAGCGAAATGGCTCACCGAGAAAGAAAAGGCCTTCATCGAAGCCCGCTTGCCGGGCAATGCTCCTCGAGCTGAAGAAGTCAACTTCAACTTCCGCGAAATTCTTGCGGCACTAAAGGACAAAAGAATGTGGCTGTTCACGCTTGTTTGGGCGACCATGACAGTCGGGACCACGGGGCTCACCTTCTATCAGCCTACCGTCATTGCAAATCTTGGTTTCACGTCAGTACCTTTGCCGGAATCGAATCAACGTTCCACTGACCGTGCTCTAGCTCGATCGCGAAGAGCCAGCTTCTCAATATCCCAACGTCCTGCCTCTCGATCTCCATCATCGCGGTGTCGGGATACTTTGCAGACAGTGCATGGCTGCCGCGACCCATCCTTCCGCTCGGTTTCCTCGTCACCATCCTAGCATGCTACAGTGTGCTCTATACCTTTCCCAACAACGGCGGAGTCTACGCCGCGACCGTCATTGCGAACTCTTTTGCGCAGTCCTGGTACCCCATGATGTGGCCGTGGCGCGTGCAAACGACATCGAGGGCGACGGGCTCTGCGTTCGCGATCGGATTCGTGAACAGCTACGGACAGATTGGTGGCGCCGTAGGACCGCAGATCTTCCAGTCCAAGTACGCGCCTCATTACACCACTTCGTTCGCGGTCGCCATGGCTGTTCTTGGTGCCTGCATCTTGATCACTTGTGTGACATGGTGGGTGACGCGGGAGACCGAGCGGCAGACGAGGAGGATCAAGAAACTACGGATGAAAGCTGCCAAGAGTGGAGGAGCGGTCCTGGACGATGTCAACTTTGACGCAGACATGAAGCACAGGGAGGACACCCGGAATGCAGCTTAGGTAGGGGGGTCTTGAAGATGCCTTGAGCTATTGCAACATTTGCTGATAGACGACAACGGGGCTGACGCCTACAATACAACAACGACGCGTACACAGTAGAGGGAGAGCCGTTTGGAGTGGGGCATGAGGCTCAGGATAGGTCTTGTCCATAGGAAGTCCTTACACCGAAGAAAGCCTTAGATTAGGGGTTGAAGCCGTACCAGTCTCCGGCTGCCACTGACCATCCCTTGTCACAGTGCTTTGGCCTTCCTTACAATGGGTTTGTGGTATTACGATAAATGTGCCTCTCATCGATGCCGTACCAAGAGTACAGAAACATTTTACAGCGCCCAGGAGTTGTCGCCTGGAAGAGACCGGTTCCTGGCTTCGGGCTGTCAAACGTGATTGCCTTTAGCTACAGTACAAGCATTCGTGGCGTTCCAGTCTTGGCAATCGTTGAAATAATAGAAATATATATTTGTTGTTAAATTTTGACTTGAAATCAGCACAGAGGGGTTGTAACTCAGGGGTAGAGTGCCTGCTTTGCATGTAAGCTTAACTGCAGGAAGGCCGGGGTTCAAATCCCCGCAGCTCCAACTTGCTTTTTTGTTTATTTTTATTTTGAAATTTTCGATGCATAGATCATCGGCCTTCGAAAAGGCCCAGAATGTAACGAGTACCGTACTTGGATTTCATGGTGTGAGCGGCGAGGAGGGGCTCTCGGCGAACTTGCCGCGAATGGGCCCGCAAGGCTGAGTGTTTCCTCCACCCAATCAAACAGCGCTTGGGATGCGAATTTATTTCTGTCGGATAGAGAGAGCCTTGTATGGCCTCGTCTTCGACTTTTTGCACACCTCGACTGCATCAACATGACAACCGGGAACGGCGCAAAGCCGTCAGTGGCCGACATGGCCAATATGTCGACCGAAGAGAGAATGGCAGGCATGGAGCACTCCGAAGTCCGCTATTTTACCTCCTACGAGTGAGTGCCTCCTCTGTTGGTCAAGATGGCCTGCTGACCGATACTCGAGCCACCACGGAATTCACGAGGAGATGTTGGTAAGGACACCACCGAACCTTGCGCCGGTGTTCACTCTGACCTCGACTCCAGAAGGACGAAGTCCGCACCCGGTCATACCGAGATGCCATCTACCAAAACCAACACATCTTCAAAGACAAGGTGGTCCTCGACGTCGGCTGCGGCACCGGGATTCTCAGCATGTTTGCAGCGAGAGCAGGCGCCAAACATGTGATAGGCGTGGACATGTCCAGCATCATCAACAAAGCCAAACTGATTGTGGAAGCCAACGGCCTCACCAAGAAGATCACATTGCTGCAAGGCAAAATGGAAGAGGTCGAGTTACCCGCACAACACTTGAATGACGGAAAAGTCGACATCATTATATCCGAGTGGATGGGATATTTCTTGCTGTACGAAAGCATGCTGGACACGGTTCTCTATGCACGCGACAAGTACCTCAGGCCGGCTGGGTTGATCTTCCCCGATAAAGCTACAATATACATGGCAGGCATCGAAGATGGCGAGTACAAGGAGGACAAGATTGGATGTGAGTTACACTGGACGAGATGCCAGGCACTCTGGCTGACATTGCTTAGTCTGGGACAACGTCTATGGATTCGACTACTCGCCCATGAAGGAAAGCGCATTGAGTGAGCCGCTCGTCGACACGGTCGAGCTCAAGGCACTGGTCACCGATCCATGCCCGGTCTTCACCATTGATCTCAACACCGTCACGACTTCCCAGCTAGCGTTTTCGGAGCCGTTCCAGCTCCGGGTCCAGCGAAACGACTTTATCCATGCTCTCATCGCTTGGTTTGACATTGACTTCACGGCATGCCACAAGCCCATCCGATTCTCCACCGGTCCGCACACCAAATACACGCACTGGAAACAGACGGTCTTCTACCTCCGCGAAGTTCTCACCGTGGAAGAAGGAGAGACGGTGCGAGGTTTCCTTTCCAACAAGCCAAACAGCAAGAACCGCAGGGATCTTGACATCAAAATCGACTACGAGCTCGAGACCGACGATCGGACGCGCGCTGCACGGGGCGCGTGTGAGTACCGAATGTACGTCTTCGTTCTCTCCACAGGATACCTTGTACTAATCATCTCCAGGTGCTAATCCGGGATGTCGGTCGTGCCTTCGCGTCGTCCCTCACCCTGTGTCTTTCATAGGACGTAAAAGCTGCATTGGTCGGATATTGTTTGCTGCACCTCTGCATTGATGAAGGAAATGGCACCTTCCCATCCACGATGAATGACCGAGATGACTTTTGAGCAGAGTCAAGCTCCTCGTTATTTGACTAAGATACCCCACGAGTTGATGCTGATCTTGATAACAAGTCCATAATGCAAAAGCAAAAAGATGTTACTCGTCAATCGCCTGTGCGCCGAGCCCCTGGACTGACAACCGTGTTGATTACTCTCCCTCGCCGGCTATTAGTTACTTACGGCGTGCAGCGCTGCCGCCGCGAAATGCCTCGGCTCGCGGCTCCCCACACTTTCTCTTCCGAAAGCACATACAGTAGCCCGCGTCTTCTGCTCTCGCCTGTTGTCCACCAACTCGAGCTCCTACTCCTAATTTGCGTGTTGAAGCTCAGTGTCGATTGAAGAAACCATGTCGGGTCCGGGAGTTGGCTTTGAATACCCTCGAACCGAGGTGTCTTGGTTGAAGAGAGACGTGCTCCTGTTCGCCGTGAGCATCGGCTGCACGGTGGACGAACTACACTTTATCTACGTGAGTGTGAGGAGCAGACAGCGACGCCGCTGGCTCTGACCAAGGCTTCGCAGGAACTTCATCCGAAATTCGCCGTGTTCCCCACGTATGCAATCATCCTGCGTGAGTGGTCTGAGTATGCTCCGGGCTCAACGGATCCCAATTAACTGGCAAAACAGCGTTCAAGAAGACCACCCAAGAAGTCATTGACTTCTATGCCGCCCAGGAGAGCAATCCGATCCCCGGGATTCCCAAGCTCGACGCCAGACGTGTTGTCGACGGTCAGCGCCTGATCCAGTTCCTGAAACCCCTCCCGACCACCTCCGAAGGGCGAAAATTCGAGCTGCGGTCGAAGGTCATCGGCGTGTATGATAAAGGCAAACCCGGCACCGTGGTTGAGACTGAGCAGACCATTGTGGATAAAGAGACGGGCGAGGTCTACACACGAGCCGTGGGCTCCGGCTTTTTCGTCGGTCAAGGAGGATGGGGCGGACCCAAGGGACCGGCGACGGTCAACTACCCCCCGCCCAAGGGTCGAGAAAACAGCCCAGATAAGATCAGCGAAAAGCAGCTGACGGCCGAAAGTGCGCATCTGTACAGGTGAGGAGCTCGGCGGCCCCGCAGGCTCGACCCGGCACTGACATTAGCCCTTGCAGACTGAATGGCGACTACAACCCTCTCCATGCCACGCCGGAGCCCGGCCAGAAGATGGGTTTCGGCGGCCCCATCATGCACGGCCTGTCCACCTGGAACTTTGCCGCGCATGCGCTCTTGAAGGAGCTGGGTGGCAGTGACCCGGCCAACATCAAGGAGTATCAGGCCCGGTTTGCCGCGCCCGTGAAGCCCGGCCAGAAGCTTGTCACGAAGATGTGGAGGACGGGCGACGTCAAGAATGGCTGGGAAGAGATCCGATTCGTGACCGAGGCCGATGGAAAGGTCGTCCTCAGCAACGGGCGGGCGCTGATCAAGGTGGTCGAGGGAAAGAGCAAGTTGTGAAAGACATCAGCGAGAACGTGGGAGGCCTCGGAATTCAGCCACCGAAATTCCAACGTTGGCTCTCGGATCCCTGCAGAGCCTGTGTACGGAGTACTTTCATAGAGAGGGCCGTGTTCAGGATGAAGACACCCATCGTATTCCTCCCATCAAGGCCTTTCGTGCTGTTCTCGTCATTTCTGGTAGAACTTGGCCGGCTCGACGCATGCTAGGTATATCGAATCATGCCATGTGCTCCTTCCGTCGATATTGAGTCAGGGTCCTCGGTGTGCCCGGTCCGAATATGCAAGCCAGTGTTACGAACATCCATGATTCTCGAATGTGGGACGCAAGACCAAAAAGATTTCGATGATGGTTCCCGGCCGGGGTAGAGCGGCTCGCGCACCGACACCGACACCGACGGTCCAAGCTTCGTGAAGCTCCTCCCATCGTCGGTCACGGCCTGAGCCTCGGAGAAAACGGTCGCCATCTCGGACGGACACGGCTTCGAAGATTTCATGTTGGGAAGAGCATCCTGTGCTGAGCCCGCGAGATGCGATGCCCGACGGGGGCAAAACTGGAGAGATTATGCGGAGCGTTTGCAGTAGCCGGACGAGTCTTGATTCTCGAGTCTGGATTGCCGTGTCGGCGTTTGAAAACAACAAATCAGCGGCTTCGAAGACAGACTGCGGTTTCCTCCCGCTACCGCCATCAAGCAATGTCCCCGTCCTTTGACAACTGTTTCCGCTCCGTCTTGCCCCGGGTCCGCCCTTCGACATACAATGTGTCTGCTGCACGCGAGGGGGAAGGATTCTTCCGATGGGACGGAGATCATCACTGGCTAATCGTTACACAATGAACAACCTCTGCTACGAGGTACTGTATGCTGTCTGCTGTCGCATGACAACCGGTTGATCTTGGCAGCCAAGCAGGATCGACATACCCCTTGCGGCTTCCGATCTCCAAGTCAGCCAGCTAAACAGATGTGCTGTTACATTCGAGCTGACGGCCGACTCTGCTGGCACGCTGGTAGGCTGGCCGCCATCCTAGCTCTTCGACGCCCAGACATCTATTATGCAGAGATCCGGTCACGTCGCACCCGATCCCCGCAAACTCAACGAGTCTTTCCTGCAGGCTTGAGAATCCGGCAGCTTGGCTTTCTCTGCGGAATGGCCAGAGACGGTAAAGAGGAGGCGCTGCCACGGCCGTTACACAAGGGCTTGACGGCCTCCAAGCTTCATGAAGCAACCCAAGCCCGTCGCTTGTCCCGTCGGGCGAAGCAGGAGGTGTTCGAGTAACCGAACTTGGTTATTTAAGATCACGACGGGACCTCCGTTTCTCAGCAATAGCGTGCAAGATGAGCGTGAGAGCATTCTCTGGTCAGGATAGGTAGTAGTTCTGCATACTCCGTACCACTTTGGACTTCCTTTTCTTGACTTCCTTCCTTCCTTGGCGTTATAAACATGGGCGGCGGTGGAGGCAAGCCTCTGAACATCTTCCGCATGGGAAGCTCCCTCGCGGATGAACCTAAAGAAGTGCTGAATTGGAGACTATGGTTCGCCGTGTTCTCCTTTGGGATTATGGGAGCAGCCCGAGGGGTGGATGAAGGGTTGATAAGCGGTAAGAGAAATGTCTCGTTAGGAATAACGATAATGCTGATACGTGTACAAGGCACTTTCAACACCGAACATTTCCAGAAGCTCCTTGGGTTCGACAAACTCGCCGACGATGACTATGCTGATGTCAAAGGCAACGTCTCCGCGATGGTGCAGATTGGAAGCGTTGGCGGTGCTCTGTTGGCGTTCGTCCTCGCGGATCGCATCGGTCGTCTTTGGGCCACCCGTCAACTGTATGTTGTATCCCCAGCCTCGGTCGAAAACATTCTGCTCACCTTTCCTAGCTGTATCCTCTGGATCTTGGGCATCGTCATATTCCTCACGAACAATGGTAGACTGGGCCAAGTGTATGCAGGGAGGTTCATTGCAGGCCTTGGAGTCAGTATAGCGTCGACCAAGTACGAGAGGAATCGCTAACCGAAATAGATTGGCCAAACCACCGTCATCGCTCCGATTTACCTGTCTGAGATCTCCCCCAAGGCGGTCAGAGGGCTTTGTACTTGCGTCTTCTCAGGGTCTGTGTATATTGGGATCATGCTCGCGTATTTTGCCAGCTGGGGCAGCAGTCTTCACATCGACAAGAACAGCTACAACTCCTGGGTCGTTCCCACATCGATCCATCTCATGTTTGCCGGCATCATCTTCCTTCTTTCCTGGTTCAACAACGAATCCCCGCGCTTTCTCATCAAGAAGGGCAGCGACGGTCAGGCTGTGGCCAATCTCGCTCGACTCCGGGGACTCGCTCCCGATGACGAGTACATCACCGCTGAGATCAACGGCATCAAGCATCAGTTGGCCGAGGAAGAGGAAGCGACCATGGGCCAGGGATTCTTTGGCTGTAAGTCACCATTTTCTCAGGCGATAGCTTCCGGAGTTGTTGCCCGTGGTTTTGCCTGGCACTCGAAGCCCCCTGACCCGAGTCAACATGAGTACACTCTAACAGACCCACAGATTTCCGGGAAATGTTCTTCATGCCCAACAATTTCTATCGCATCTACCTCGGCCTGGGAACACAGCTGCTCGGCCAATGGTCGGGCGCTCAGAGCATCACTATCGTACGTACCAGCGTCCCTGTCATGTTAAGTTGTCATCCGAACACTGACGTCTGCTGATAAGTATGCTCCGGACATGTTCGCCTTGCTCGGCACCAAGGGCCAGAACGAAAAGCTCTATGCCACTGCCATTTTCGGCGTCGTGAAATTCGCCGCGTCCATCATCTGTGCTCTATTCCTTGTCGACGTGATCGGGCGAAAACGGTCCCTGTCCATCGGCATCGCCCTGCAAGCCATATCCATGTGCTACATCGCAGCATTCTTGACGGCGGTCCCGAACATTGACGAAGACACTGTCTTCACACCGTCTCAAAAACATGCGTCGACAGGCGGCATCGTCATGATATACATCTCCGGTTTCGGATGGGCGTAGGTTCTTTTGTTCTCTGAGAATACCGGGCTCCTTGGCTGACACAGACCTCAGAATGGGTTGGAACAGCATCCAATACTTGCTGAACGCGGAGATCTATCCTCTCCGGATCCGTGCGATCAGTAGCTCCCTGGTGATGTGCTTCCACTTCGGTGAGTCGATTCCGTGAGCTGGGCGTCTCAACCACTTTGCTGATATCGTGTCCGAACAGTCAATCAATACGGGAACTCGCGTGCTGTCCCTAACATGCTCCTACCTACGTCCGACGGCGGACTCTCCCCCAACGTAAGCACCCTCCTCCAAATCTTACCCACATCATCCAGCAGCCTTGGATCGTCCGTCGTCCATACTGACGCACACAGGGGACGTTCTGGTTCTTCACGGCGATCACCATTCTTGGCGGAGTCTGGGCGTGGTTCTTTATCCCCGAGACATCCGGTCGCAGCCTCGAAGGCATGGACGCACTGTTCAAGTTACCCTGGTACAAGATCGGACGGTATGGACAGAGGGAGGCCGAAGTTAGTGATCAATTGGCGATGGAGCGAGTCTTGGAGGAGAAATCCGGTGCTGGGGGAAGCGCTGCGCAGGTCGAGGTTGTGCGCCAGGAGAGAGTGTGAGAAAAAACAAGCAAACGATAACGGGTTTCAGGCATTTTTGCCCAGGACTCGTTTCCGCGCTTGAGGTGATAGGCGAGTCTGGTCCTTCTGAACCTCTCGGCAACCGCCACATGGAGTCGCGATGCGAGCAGTTGCGATGCTGTGATTATTCTCGTCGGTCTCAGCGAGCAGACAAGAAAACTCAATGATGTTACTCCGTACCATTCCACCAAACTGGCTTCGTGGCTGTCTGATAAAATGTGCTCTGTACTCCGTACTCCTCCACTAGTTCATTTCTACGGCGCCCGAGAAGACGGCGACTATGAAGCTGGGCTGAAAGTCGACGCCGGCTGTGGCTCCTCTGACTGGATGCCACGCCGTTGAAGGCGCCGGCTAAACTCAGGTCTCAGGAGGTAAAATTCAGGTACTTGACTGTTCCTCGTTGGACTTGGGTCTTCCGTGGGCCAGACGTTAGGTAGGGAGGCGTGGGGGGTCCGTCTGTCACCTAAGTAGTTAGGCAGTTAGGCGCTCCGGAGCCTAGAAAGTGAGCGCCCGTGGCACCCCACCAGCCCCCGTGGCTTTGACTTTACCGTTGCACCAAATTGACATTTTCTTTGCTTCTCGGTCTCAGCTGACAGGCAATTCATTCACCGGCCCACCAACAATGGAGTTTCTTCTCTATCCAAATATCTCTCGACATAAGGTGATCTGCTTTTTGACGCCGGCGTCCTTCTCGTTACACTCCGCCTCGCTGGAGTCTCGATTCTACGCGAGCAACATTCAGGTCCTTGCCCGCCGAGATACGCGAAACTTACCACATGCTTAATTAATGAATTGCCCCTGCAAGGGAACGCACAAGGGTTTCTTCCGCGGGTGGGGGTCGATCAAAATCTCAGCGGGACTTCGGCTGCACTTCAGCTGAAACCGTCAACTAACGCAGGTACCCGAAGTCGTCCACAGCGGCCTTCCTCAGGTGATGCCGTGGCTGCCACAGGCTGTGTGCTACTCGACCAGTCTTCACTCGCCTCACCCGCCGTCGAGGGTCTCGGTCGGCGTTCGGTGGCAGAGCTGAGCAGAGACATGGAAGAATCACAGTCTCAGGGGCCCCGCGTCTTCCTTCCTTGGGAAAATCTCTGACCTACACGGTAGCCCTTGATCATTCGAGGCCAACTACCGCAACCGGGAATCGATCTGGACAGCAAGATATCGGATAACGAGATTGTCTCTGCTCGGTGGGAAATGATCATCCGGTGTGGTATCAACATCAGCCCTTCAGGCTGGCACCGACATTACTGTATTTCGCCGCACCGGATCGAGCATGTCGAAGGACCTGTGTGCGACGTCTCAGCGACCTCCATCAGGAAAGGCCTTATGATCCCAGACCTCCGGCGCGCCGATAACTCGAAGATAAGGACGATTAGCTGCCGAAGTTAAACTGCATCTGGCACGTACACGCACGCCACACTTTTCCTATCCCTGAGTCTGACGCTTCGAGTCTCGACGCGTCTTGTCTCGACATATCCAGAAGCGATGCACATGCGAGCTGCAGGACGCAATTTCCGATACAAAGGAAGGCGTTCACTTGTCCAAAGTCTAAACACGCTGCTCATGTCACGTTCTACTGGGTGAGCGCCGACCACTAAATTGGATCGTACTTCACCTAATTGTCCGGCCACCCCTGCCTCGGCCTTTCAGATTTCCAGTCGACATCTGACTTCGTCCCGCTTTCCACTCGGATTCTTCCCTTGGGTCCGTGGCCGGCTAAGCGTAGAATCTTGTGTACCCACCGATCTATAGACGCCTCCGAATTTCAGGGGACTCCGTCATCACCGGTGGGCTGAAATGAAGTCCGTATCGATATCACCTAAATGGCCGATGGCGTCCTAGGCATTTCCCCCCTCATTGCGACCAAAAACGTCGTCCAACTGCTCGTCTTCCTGCTTCCGCCGCCACAACCAGAGCAGAAGACGACGTTACGAGATGGGTGTGCTACCGATGATCGACAGATTTCCTGCTCCGGCGAGGATCCAGCGACTCAGTGTGTTTGCCTTGGGCACAATTCTCATCGTTCTTCTCCTCGAGAACACACTCTTCCCGGAAGCTTCAGTCACCAGTCTTCACAGAAGGGTAGGTAGCCACCCGGATCTTCCACAGTTGATCGCGTTGACAAACGATAGGGTGACCGATCACGGTCCCAACACTACCAACAATGGGGTGCCTTTGAACCGATGTTAATCCCCGGATATGTCAACACGGGACTGCCCGGGAAGAGATCATGCGACACTCTGAAATACAACTCCACCGTCGGCGTGCAGCAGAGTTTCCACCTCAACGATGATATTCATCAAATCGCTGTGGCCCTCGACCAACACCCCGTCGTCGACTATCCCGATGAGATGATGAACGACCCCGAGATGGACATGAGAGATATTGTCGAGAAGACGTGGACGCGCCTGGCAGGATCGAGCGTGTGGCTACCCGAACAGAAAGTGTACTTGTCCGTGACCCGGGTCGTCTTCTCGCCATCCAGAACTCGAACGGTGCCCAAGATGAGTTTCCTCCGGGGTCAACTTTTCAATGAAGACTGGGACCACTTGACCAATCATACGATCACGTGGAGTGGCAAACAGTTCACGTTTCCCATGGTTTTCGACATACCAGCACAGTGGGAGGATCACGGGGGCATGTTTGGACCCGAAGACCCTCGTGTCCTCTTGGAGGAGGGTGTGGAGGATGCGGAGCCAGTCATCATCTTCAACATGGTCAGTAGGAAGTCCGACTGGAAGCGAGCAATGCACCTTTTCCGCCCGTTCTCCAAGGCCTCGACGATCCTCACCATCAAGGACACCGAACGAGCATATAACGAGAACAGCTGGGCACCATTCTTCATACCCGAACAAGAGCAGCAAACCTTGCTTGGCAAGATCCCCCTGCCGGTGCCGGGCGTCGTCCGCAAACCCAACGAATATATCCACTTCGTCTACAGCTTCAGACCTTTGCGCGTCTTGAAGTGTCATATGCGTTGTGGCGACTGCGAATTTGTGTACGAGCAGGACGTTCCAGATAAGGTCTTCAACAAGCACCACGACGAAGCCGGCAGTGTGCGTGGTGGTACAAACTTTGTCCCGGTCCCGATTCCGTCAAGCATGGACATCGACTCGAGGGTCCGAGTGTACGCAGCGTTTCCCCAAACGAACATTGCGAAATTTTGTGACGGGAACTTCTATCGACCAGAGTTTGCCGTCATGATCAACATTGGCAATCAATTCCAGCTTGCATTTGCTTCCGAGTCACTTGACTTTGGCGATTCCATCCTGGAGCTGGGTCCGGATGATGATCGGTGTGAGAAATCGCGCATTCTTACCCCTAATACCGTGGTCCGCTGGGACACAGGCAGTGGTCAGGATGTGATGACTGTGACCTTCAGCGTCAACGATGAGACCACTCAGGTGTCTCGCATCCGCGGCCTGCTGGGTTTCGTCCGCAACCTACCGCAGTTCAAGACGTTGCTCAAACGAGATGGTCTCCTGAAGGGTGCCGATGCCGACCTCGTGAGCATTCTGGCCTCGTGGGTCGGTGACGATATACGTGGCTGTCTCATCGAGTCGGCGGCAAACTACACTGGCATCACGATGGAGGATTCGGACCCCAGAGATGAAGGCCAAGAGATGGATCTGTCCAAGGAATTGATGCTCCGACTCAAACAGATCAAAGCAGAAGAGGCTGAACGTAACCGGGCGAAAGAGGCCGGTAGCGAGAGTAGCCCTGGCAATGAACCAGCCCTCCCCATCCTGGAACATCCCCCAGAAGAAGAGGAAGATGCCATCTTTCACCCAGAGCTCCTGGGAGAATTTGAAGACGTCGAAGGTCTCGCTGTCGAAGGCCTGGAAGATGAGGGTACAGAGGACGAAGACAAGGAGGACAATCCGAAGGAAGACGAACTCCCAAAAGGCGAAAAAGAGCAGGAAGATGACACCATAGAGCAGGAAAAGAACGACGTGGACGCAAAGGACGAGGCTCTGAAACCAGAAGGACTCGATCGCCTCGTAGGCGCGGCGGGAGCCGAGGACAAGGAGCAGCAGGAGAGGCAACCGCTGCATCCGCCCAAGGCCGCGCACAATCATGACAGCCACCACCACCGCTACCATAAACAGCAGAATTGGCGCCGCGCTTGGCCTTGAAGATACGACTGAGACGACACGCCCGGCGAATACGCTGCTGTGGCCGGAGCAAAATGCAGCAGCCTCGTCACCAGCGAGCCGCATACAAAGCAAGGCATTCGCTCACACACACACTCTCTCTCTCACTCACACACACCTGGTGTCGATGTGGAGACCCCTGCCCGTCGACGTGTGTTCCAGCCTCGTTCGCTCGTGCGTGGCTCTAGCTGGACGTGCCACTGGGAACCAAACGATTGGAGCCGCGAACGTCCTCGGACATACCTGCGGCGGTGGCTCTATAGTGTGTTCTTCGAGCGGACGCGTGCAAGCATTGGAATGTTGTGTACGGCGACGACTATTTCTCATGATCTATAGACTGCGACGATATAGAGAGCACGGGAGGGGAGGGACGGACAGGGAACAACACCATTCAGGACGAGGCCAGGTCAAAGAGAGCGACCAAGGTGGCTCGAGTATTGGTTATTTTTTTCTATCAGCGAGGAGTTGTCGGGCTTCTGAGGGATCTAATGAACTTGTCACTTGTCACGACACCAGATTCAGCTGGACTATTGGGAATAGGGACAGAAAGTATAGAAGGCTAGGGGCTAGATTCACGGCCACGTGAACAATGAGGAATGCGACGAGGGAAGTAAAGTCCTCGCGAACGAAGTGCCAGCAATCCCTGATCAAAGGGGGATACCAAAGGACGAGCACTCTACACTGCACACTGTACCTAGTATTTGATCTGACATTCGGAGCATTCGGATGTCGCCCTCACTCCGCGTTTTGCTCCCGTTGCTGACGCCATGCATGTGGGCAAGATCCCGCGTGGGTAGCCCGTGGGTTTGGTGCACGCGGCCGCACTACTGGGGTAGGGCACAGGCTTGACTCTGGCTGGCTCTGGGCACAATTGGTCTGGTCGGTAATTCCGATTCCTGGCACGCCGGTCTGGTCACAGTAACCGTGTGGCACGTCCGGATGAAGCACTTTCCTCCTGAACGAATTCTGATTTGTCGGTGTGTGTGTGCGCGCGCACTGGTTTCTGTCTGGTGGGCCCGAGCAGAAGAGCTTTTCTTCCAACTCTAATCGAGATGACTTCTCCCTGTTGATTCTTCCCGGACCGAGCTTCCACGAGAGCTGACTGAAGGGTTGACTGAAGGGTTGACCGAAGGCTGGGCCATCGGTGGACGCGGGGGACCGCAAGGCCAAGAAGTCATCCCCGCAACCCGCAGACCTTTGTTGCTTCCCGACTTCAAGTCCCGCGTCAAACGTGGCTGCGACGTCGAGTCTGGGCGCCGCTAGCACACTGCTTGACTTGTCGCGAGAGATGGGCACCAGCCGATTGCGGTAGCGTTCCGAAGCAATGGAGCCCAAGTGCTGCATGGGCCTGGATAGACTTTGGCGTGTGATTTCATGTGAGCCTGGAAAGACTTTGGCGTGGTGTACTCCGTACACAGTTCAGACGAATAACGTCTGCTGTATTTACGACGGATCTGTGTGGTGGACAATCAACCAGGCACCAGCAGGAATCAGGGCAAAGGTTCAACCGCAGCTGCGCCGTCGCCCGCCCACCAGTCACTTACGAGTCACTCACCAATCACTCACCAGTCAATCACCAGTCGCTCACCAGTCGCTCACCAGTCACTGGGTACTCACAGTCACCTGAACTGCACGCCTTTCTTCCGCACCAATCGACACCAATCTCAATGCGCTGACTCTGATCGCCCGCTCACGCGAAACCAACGTCCCGCTTCCATGGCCCGGTTTCACCACCAGGTCCAGGCTTCCGGTCGCCACAGCCTCGTCCCCGCGACCAGGTACACATCCGGGGATACGAGCCAAGCCGCTACTGTTACTCATCGCTGAGCAGCGGATCGCTATCGCTGCGGGTGTCATCCTCGAAGCCAGACCAGCCAACCGAGCAGAACGGTCCTGACGATCACCGAGGCTCCGTGGTAGCACCAGACTACTACTTAGATCGAGCGGCGGCCCCTCTCTCTCTGACAGATTTGTCTCAACAACGCTCACAAAGCAACTCACCTGTCTCACATCTCACCCTGCTCACGATGGCGTCAAGGGATCACAACGTCGAGGAGCGTCAAGTCAACCCCGCCGCTCGACAGTCGCTCCAGGATGAGGTGGCCATCGAAAAACAAGCGGCAATACATACTGAGAACTTTCATGAAGCCGCTGAGCGAGGCCACGTCGCCACTGACAAGTAAGTCAAGTGAAGGCGCGGCTGTGGGAGAGCTGCGAATTAACGCATCCATCAGATACGGCCATTCTCTCGTCACCTTCGATCCAGAGGCCGAACGGAAGCTTCGATGGAAGATCGACCTCTACGTCGTCCCCACGTGAGTCTTCGCGCAAGATCTCCATTGCTCGGTTCTCCGACGCAGCTCTTGAATGCTAACTTGACAACAGCGTTGCTCTGTTGTACCTCTTTTGCTTCATTGACCGGGCCAACATTGGTGAGTCTTCCCAGATCAAGCATTCCGATCTTACGGACAGACAATAACATGCGGTGCGACAGGCAACGCCAGACTCGCCGGCCTGGAGAAAGATCTCAACCTGAAAGGCTATGACTACAACACTCTGCTCTCCGTCTTTTACGTCAGCTATATCATCTTCGAGCTGCCCTGCAATATGGCCTGCAAATGGATGGGCCCCGGCTGGTTCATCCCGGCCACTTCACTCGCATTCGGCATCTTTTCAGTGTGTACGGCTTTTGTACACCACCTGGGGGCGGCCTGCGGTGTCCGCTTTCTGCTGTAAGGACCACTACTGATGAGACATCATTACCCCCGATCTTCTCCGCTAATACTGCTCCAGAGGGTTGGCCGAAGCCGGTATGCTCCCGGGAATCGCTTATTACATGTCACGATGGTACCGCCGCAGCGAACTGGCCTTCCGCTTGTCGCTCTACATCGTCATGGCACCCCTGGCGGGCGCATTCGGAGGTCTTCTGGCGTCCGCCATCCTCAAGCTCGACCACTTCGGCGGTCTGCACCAATGGAGAATGATCTTCGCCATTGAAGGCATCATCACCTGCGGGCTCGCGGTCATCAGCTTTTTCACCTTGACGGACCGCCCAGAAACCGCTCGCTGGCTCACTCAAGAAGAGAAGGACCTTGCAATCGCGCGAGTCAAGTCGGAGCGTGTCGCGACCTCGGAGGTGATTGACAAGATTGACACGCCCAAAATCATCCGCGGCATCATCAGCCCTGTCACGCTCTCAACATCATTCATCTTCCTGCTCGACAACATCACCGTGCAAGGCCTTGCCTTCTTCGCACCCACGATTGTCAAGACCATCTATCCGAACAATTCGGTCGTGTCACAACAACTGCACACTGTGCCACCCTATATCGTCGGAGCATTCTTCGTGCTCCTCCTCCCCTTCCTCTCGTGGCGCTTCGATAGACGCATCATCTTCTTCATCCTGTCGACGCCGATGATGATGGTGGGCTACATCATGTTTTTGGCGTCCTCCAACCCGCGTGTCCGCTATGGCGCCACATTCCTGATCGCGGCGGGTGCGTTCCCCTACGGTGCACTCTGCAACGCACAAGTCTCGGCCAACGTGGTCAGCGACACCGCCCGCTCCGCCGCGATTGGCGTGAATGTCATGTTTGGGAACGTCGGCGGCCTCATCTCGACCTGGAGTTTCTTGCCTTTCGACGGTCCGGATTACCACATCGGCAACGGATTGAATTTGGCCACCAGCTCGACCATCTTGCTCTGTTCTTTTCTGCTGTTGTTCTGGATGATGGCGGACAACAAGCGCAGGGACGGCAAGGATATTGACAGCGAGCTGGATGGGTTGTCGTTGAAACAAGTCCAGGACCTGGACTGGAAGCGTGAGTTCTTCCCTGCCGCGGTGAACACCTGCGCCGCCACTATTATTCTGTTCCTCCCATTCGCGCATGCTGACCGAGATTCGCAGATCCTGGATTCAGGTGGAAGCCGTAATGCAGATGGAACAGCAGAGGCACGAAAGAAAGTCAAACAGGCGGTTGTCGAAATCGAGAAGTATAGCTGTTGCACCAGAAGAAAATGGAAAGCGGCACAAGAATGACTATCCGTGTTTGAATCCAGCCTCATCTAGCAGACTTAAGCGGAAGTACATAGTCTGGCTTGCAGTCAACAGACTCGTGTGTTTCCTCTGACAATGCCCCCCTTTGTCGTTGAGCACTTCTTCAAGGGATTCTTCCGAGGAAGTCTACTGCTCGTGCAGCTGCAATGCCTTGGTTCTGAGGTGTCGTTTGGCTCTAATTAAACCCTCGTCGTCACGAAAACTGTTTTAGACATGAATCCGTCGCTCCAGGCTTCCAAGGTAGTGTGGCCTGTGCCCCCTGTGTGGCCTACCGCGCATAGCCCGCATGTTGGTTCGTCCTAATGATGATGGGAACCATGCTGCTCCTTCTGGAAAAGCTCAGGCACCGGAGAAACAGAACCTGGTTCTGACCGTTGTTGACAGTTCGCACGAATGGGCTGTGCAATTCTTAGAGAAAGCGCGGATCCATCTCCACTCCAACGCACGGGCTCTAGGCCCAATCAAAGCCGCAGATGTGGCAAGGCGATGCTCAATCGATCCTGCCTTCCATCACTAAGTAACTCAGCCGTGTTTTTGAATTGTGCAAAAAGTAGGTCTGTGGCTTTACTGGCGCGTACGCCTTATCTGGCTTTTAAACCTGGTGTGTGGTAGCGCCCCTAGTGGAATAGCTGCTTGACCTTGAGGATTATGACTGTTTACAGAACTCCGTGCCCTGAAAAGAAGAGGCCAACATGTCGAGATCCGGCACTGATTCCATGGCTGGGCAGAAGGGCACGATTCATTCAGCCTTGCCAGGCAGACGTGTTAAGTTACCGTTGAGTAAATGGATCCAGTATATAATCTAGGTATCTGACGGTGACTTGGTCGGGATGATCCTCTCGCAACCTAGCTGCTACCTGCTACCACGAGGAGTGAAACAGCGTAAGATAATTCCAAACCAACCGCGAGAATGCAGGCTGCTACGGACAATCCCCTCCTACGTGGATTGCTATCCTCAATTTCCCCGGGATGGTTTCAGAAATACAACGACGACGAGCCTCCAGCACCCGCTTCATCGGACGAGGCCGGCATACAGAGCCACGGCGGCCGGAGGGCCACCCTCGCCTCACTACCACCAGAGCTCCATCACATGATTGCCTCGCATCTGACTTACCCGGACCTCTTGTCGCTCAAGCTCACGGACAAATACTTCTCCGACCTGGTGACTCCCAAGCTCCACGTCAGAGCGCGCGTTCACTGGGTCCAGAGCCGGCACGCACAACGCCTCCCCGTGCCGATGAGCACGAAGCTGTCTTTCAGATCGGACGCCCTGTTCGTCGCAAACGCCGAGGTCAAGACAATCTTGAGGCGCAGGAGGCGGCACTTGGAATGCCTCGACTACGACCGGGACAGGGCCGACGGGAAGAAGACGTCCGAGAACCCTGCCATCGCTGCTTTGGACATGGACGGCGGGGCCATGCAGAACGCGCACGTCCTAGTCAAGGCGTCGGAGAGGATCCGGCCTTCGGGGAGCAAAGCCTGCCTGGTCACCGGGGAAGAGGTTTGCCCTAGGGTCAGGGAGACGGAACTGGCCAAGCAGCGGTACGAGGGCAGTGTGATGGGCAAGTTGTGCGCGAATGGGCGACAAGTCGCGTGGTGTGCAAGAGTAGCTTGGTGGTGGTTGGAAGGATGGTGGCAAGCCATCATTCGATCTCTGAGGCGGCGACGTCAGGAAGCATGAGACGGTACTCGTATCTTGGATCAGCATTAATCACACACACACACCCACACACACACAAATTCTAGACCATAATGATTTGAAAATGCATTCGGCACTTGCGCGTAGCGAGACTGAATTGGTTGGTACCTGAGTTGCAGGTGAAAAGTCCGGAATCTTATCTTATCGCAAGGCTGAACCCGTTGCCTGGGGCGATCACAGCCTTGTCAACAATCGGTCAATTCAAACGCCGAGGCAAGCGACCGAGTCGCGCAGGTGGCAGTGACAGTGACTGTGACAGGGATGCATATCAAAACGCTGGCGACGTTACCGTCAGTTACATGGTCCACGTTCCGGCTCATGCATGCTTGATGCCCTATAGATATCAGCATGGCCTTCCTGTTCGGCGGTCGAGGGCGACAGAAACAGCCTGCGGAAATCGCCAGGTCATTAAAGGATCTCCTCGTCAAACTGCACGAGCCCAATCCAAGCCCAAAGGTGAGGAGGGGACTTTTCTGGAACATGTGCGCACGAACTCGAGATTGACGTGCCCCTGCAGATTGAAGAAGATGTCGCGAAACATATGTCGCAGATGAAGTTGATTGTCCAGGGAACACCAGGTTCGAACCAGCCTCTGTCGGTCGCATGTCCATCCATGACACTAATGGCGCCGCCGGTGCAGAAGTCGAATGCAGCCCCGAACAGGTACACCAGCTCGTGCAGTGCATCATCCAAGAAGACATCCTGTTTGAACTGGTGCGGTCGATTCGGTTGCTACCCTTCGAAGCGCGGAAAGACGCTCAAATCATCTTCTCGCACATCCTTCGCTACAAGACCTCCTCGACCCCATCCTCACCACAGTCTGGCGGCCAGGAACCGTCAGCGGTCACATACCTGGTGTCTCAGAGACCAGAGATCATCGTCGAGCTATGTCGCGGTTACGAGTTCCCCCAGTCTGCAATGCCCTGCGGGACGATCCTACGACAAGCACTGGCACATGAGACAATCGCCGCAGTCATCTTATACGACGAGTCACAGCCAGGAGAAAAGGCGGTCCAGCTGAAAGATGTGGACGTGAGCCGCAAACAGTCAGGCACCGGCGTGTTCTGGAGCTTCTTCGACTGGATCAACAAGGGCAGTTTTGAAGTCAGCGCCGACGCCTTTACGACGTTCAGGGTATGTTACCACCTCGTCCATCAGCGGCATTCGGCCACAACTGACCACCCAGTGCAGGAGATCCTCACCAAACACAAACAGCTGGTCTCGCAGTATCTCACGACAAACTACAGCCTCTTCTTCACCCAACACTATAACCCGACCCTGCTCCTCTCTCCTTCCTACGTCACAAAGCGGCAGTCTATCAAACTCCTCGGCGAGTTGCTCCTCCATCGATCCAACTACACCATCATGACTCAATTCGTGTCCTCGGCCGACCACCTCAAACTCACCATGACGTTACTCAAGGACGATCGAAAAATGGTCCAGTACGAGGCGTTCCACGTGTTCAAGGTCTTCGTCGCGAACCCCAACAAGAGTGACGAAGTTAAGCGCATCCTGGTGCGGAACCGTGCGAGATTGTTGAAATTCTTGCCCACCTTCCTGGAGGGTCGCACCGATGATGACCAGTTTCTGGACGAGAAGAGTTTCCTGGTCAGGCAGATTGAGAACTTGCCCGACGAAGAGACCCTGCTGAGGGAACAGCAGGACAACAACAGTCAGGTGAGAGTCGGTGCATAGGATGCAGCTATATTGCGCTGGTGGAGGTGACAGCGTGACAGGAGTGCCGTGACGCGATGAGGGATGATTAGAGCCCGCCACGCTCTCTCATCTCACTCTTACCGTCACGGTGCCTGGTCGTTGGGAGGGTGTGTTGCAATGGGTGATGGAGTCCTTGAACTCTGGTGCGTCTGGATTGTGCGTTGCTCTTTGTAGTGAGTGAGCACAAGAGAGCTTTACATGGACTGCGGCATGTTTGGGGGGCAGGCCCAGTGCTATTGTCACGATACGATGCATTGATTGATACACGAGGACACTTGCATTTACTAGGTACTGAACTATACCTATGTTCTCTTTCCTTTGCCTGCGCTTGCTGAGACAATACGGCGAGGCGTACGGAACGGTGATGGGTACGAACGATAACATACGAATCAACGGATGAAGTTCCAACTGCCCTTGAGTGAAGTATGTCCTGTCATTAAGGCATTCCGTACCCATTCCTGCAAGCTGCCTACCTAGGGTAACTCACAGGCTTGTTCGGTCGCACACCATTGGGCATACGTACCCCGTTTGTATCAATGCATGGCCTTGATAACTTTCCGCACCTTTGCCCGCATTGTCCTTTTCCTTGCACTCCTGTCGGTTGCGCCGGGCTGGGCCTCTCTCTATACATGCAAGGGACTGTACGTCCAGTTTCTACCTACCTACAGTAGGTACATACATACCTGAGGTACTGTACCTAGTACCGGTGTCCCGTGTTGAAGGGACTCCGGAACCGTACGTATGAGAGACTCACTACTGTACCCAAGGTAGGTACTGTACATAAGGTACATACCGAGACACTGTTGCCGCAGCTAGATTTCATAAAAAGGGGCAGGGACGCAGCCAATCTTCTTTCTTCTCCCTCAAACGGCATACGGCATACTAAATACTACATACTACATACTACATACGGTGCTCCGTAGGCAGTGTGCCTTTCAATGTTACGGCTACGGCTACGGTCACGGCTACGGCTACGGCGACGGCACGGGTGGTATGTATGTACCTGACTCGACTGAGCTTGCACTGTGCAGTAAGAAGCCTTCTCCCTAGCCCGAGTCAGTCCATCTCGGTATGGGCTCAGGACTCAATACTCAAGTCAGACGTAGAGCCTTGCAGATTTGACTGAGCGTGGAGGCGGGAGTGAGTCGCATACTTGGGAGCGTCACAATCGTTCGTGTATGTCATTAAAGTGCAGAGGCTCATCCACCGTATCCAATACTGTATGCCAACACCGTCATCAATCCAAGCAAGCAAGCAAGCAAGCAAGCACATCGCTGCTTGCCGGCTCAAAACACGTCTTCCTTCTTTGCCGGCCCTTCCTGGGCCTCCAGCGTCATGTTGTCCAACTCGTCACCCAGCAACTCTACCTCGACCTCTTCCCCTACCCAGCCCTCAAACTCCTCCAACCCTTTCTGCACGTGGACCTTGAACCGAATCACATCCTCCAGTAGCCGCTCGATGCCGCCGTGCAGCTCCTCCCGCACCCGTGCACTTTCCTCCCGCATATACTCGTATGCAATATGAACTTCCATCTCCCTCTGCTCCAGCTCCACAACACCCCGGGCCAACCCTTCTCTCATGCGGCTCAGTTCCTTCTCGAGCTTCTCAATCGCGCTGGTCTGCTGCGTGTGCTGCGTCGTCCCGTTCTCCTTGAGCACGCCATACAACCTCCCAGCCTCGTTGACCCGGTAATTCAAGTTGTCAATTTCGGTGTTCTTCTCATGGAGCGCTTCGGAAATGTTGTCCAAGAAGTCCCGCGCGTTGAGATCTGACTCCGACAGGGCTTTTCTGCGCTCGTTGATTTCCTTGCGCAGAGATATGAACGCGTTGCGAACGGTGCCCCGAAGGTCAAGGTTCAGGAGATGGGAGGGAGAATAGCCCGTGTTGGTGTCGGCGAGGAGGCGATCGGATTCCACTGGCGATGCGCGACTGCGGCGAGGTTGGGAAGTTGAAGATGAGAAATTGTCCGACGAGAGATTGAGGCTGAGTTCGTAGTCCTGGCCTTTCGCGTTGACTGCTGTCGATGGGATCACCGACATCTGATAGCCCAAGCTGTTGTAGCGTTTGATGGTTGCCTCGAGCTCTTCGAGTTTGCGGGCCGTTTCGGTCTCCTTTTCCAGGACTCTTTTGTTCACTTCGTCGAGAGTGACGAGTGCGTCTTCGTGGGATTTGGCGAGTCGTTCGCGTTCGGTGTTCATCCGGTCGATGTCTTGGATGTTCAATCCCTGTCGGTCCACGCTATGTTGCAGCGCCTGGCGTTCTTGCTCGACGACGGCCAGGTCTGCTTCGACTTTCTGAATTTCCACGTCGAGGATTTTTATGCGTGAGTCGTACTTTTCGATCTTGGCTTGCACATTGGCATTATACTCTTCGAACTTCTTTTTGTCATCTTCCAGAATCTTGAAGTGCTTATCCAATTTCGCAATGTCGGGTGCATTTCGCTCGAATTCGTCGACTTGTGCTTTCAAGGCTTCATGTTCTGCTTCGAAAAGTTTCAACTCTTCGGCGTGCTTGGCATTGGCGCGTTCAAACTCTTCGTTTAGAGCCTGAATATGCGGCTGCAGCGCGGCATCCTCGCTTTCCTCATCGTCCTCGGGCCCCATCTGGAGCCAGTCTTGATAGGCGCCGAACAGGAAGCGGAATACTATGCGATCGCTGGCCACGTCAACGCCGGCCTCGGCACATGCATCATCGTATGCGCCCCGTGTGAAGTTGTCTAACATCTGAGCGAGCTGCATCATCCAATGCAGCAGACCCAGGAAGCGGGGCCAGTTCTGTCCTCCTACAGCGACCAGATGAGACTTCGTAATGTCTCGTTCATAGGGGTATCTGAGCTGCTTCATGATGGGCGGAACCTCGACATCTATGCTCTTCTGGAATTTGTAGCCTGGGTCAATTCGTCTGTACAACCACTGGAACATGAACGTGAAATCCTTCTGTGTTGGTGATTTGACTGAATTCTGGGTTAACGAGTGCTTCATTTCGAGCTCGAAATTGTTCTGAGTCAGGTAATCAAGCAGTTCTTGACTGAGACGCGCCCTGTACGAGCCATCCCGGAGAGGTCGGGGGTCCTTCGGAGCGCCGGCAGCTGGCGGTGGTTGCGAGAAGAATGACTGGTGCACGGCCGGCGCATGGCCGGCAGGACGGGAGAAGATGCTGCTTCTCCTCTGCAGACTCTGAGACGCCGGTGTTTGTGAGCCAAATAACTGGTTTGGCGCAAGACTTTGCCGGCCAGTATGTTGATTAGCGAATATGTTGACTGAAGTAGATCTCCGTGCTGTTGACATGCCCATATCTGCCAAGTTCCCTCCGGAGGATGATCGATGGAACACAGGCTGCGCAGGACGCTGAATGCTGTGGTTGATTGAGGTCGACCGGACATGCTGCGCGGTGTGAAATTCGGCGCTTGAGGAAGCCCGCTTGACGGTGGAAGCCGGCTGAGGGATGGCTGAGAGATTCGTGATATTTCCGAGAGTCTCGCGCGGGCGACGGACACTGAAGAGACCAGGCGGCTGCGACATGATGGCTGCGAGGCGAGGGTGGTGGTGTCAGGGTTCTGCGATGAGTTGTAGTCGCAGGCTGAGGTTGAGGGCGCGGTCTTTTGCGAGGCCAAACAAAGCCATCGCGAGAGCCGTAACCACGGCAGCTGGTGCTACGGCGGATCAGAAGCACACTGGGCAAGCGTTCGCTAGGCCTATCTGGGACTGGTGGCTGGTACTGCCAACCAAAGGCACTCGAAGCGCACACCGAGGCTCAACTCATTGACAAATGGATGGCTGGTCTCATCTATCAACCACTTCCAGCAGCCATTTCCATCTCTCATAATCCCCTCTTCTGTTCTGTTGCGTAGGGCAGAAGTTAGAATGGGCGCTGAATAAGCCCGGTTTCTCGACTGACTTGCGCCAATATGGCACCCCGCGAAGACTTGGTCGCCTCGGCCGTGGTGTTCCTGCAGGACCCGTCCGTTGCCTCAGCTCCAGTCGAAAAGCGAATCGAATTCCTCAAATCCAAAAACCTCACACAGGAAGAGATTGATCTTTCGCTGGCTCGGGTCGCCGGAGATGCGGGCCAGCAGCTTCCACCTCCGCAAAATGCACCCTACTATCCTGCTCCTGCACGGGGACCCCCAGGCCCGCGCTACCCATACCCATACAACCCCTACGGAGAATGGCAGCAGCCTCCGCCGCCGGAACCGCCTCGACGAGACTGGCGAGACTGGTTCATTATGGCGACCGTAGTTGGTGGAGCCAGCTACGGATTGTACACCCTGGCTCAGAGATACATCAAACCATTAATAGCGCCGCCAACACCACCCCAGTTGGAACAAGATAAGGCCGCAATCGACGAGCAATTCAACAAAGCATTCGCCTTGCTGGACACACTATCCTCAGATACCGCTGCTCTGAAAGATGCCGAAGAAGCCCGTACTCAGCGCCTCGACACCGCAATCACCGACATTGAAACCATTGTCGCGGAATTGAAAGCCGCCAATATGCGCCGTGAGGACGATGCCCGCAGAATGGAAACGGAGATAAGAACCATGAAGGACAGCCTGCCTCGATCCATTGATAGCGTTAGAGATGCAAGCGAAAGACAGCTCAAGGAGCTGAGCACTGAGTTGGCCAGTCTGAAAGCGCTCATGGGTAATCGGCTCGGAAGCGCCTCCTTCAGTCCTGCAGGACAGGGAATCGCAAGGACTCAGCCAGGCACATTTCCAGGACCGGGTGCGTCAGCTTCGACCGGCGCAGCCGCGACATCGACCACCGAGAATGCCACAGGAAACAGTGCTGGCAACCCGCCTAGGCCTACACCGAGCTACACCGCTTCAGCGTCAGCAGTCCCTACATCCTCGTCAGTGTCAACTACCAGGCCAGCGTCAACCACTTCATTCGGCAGCTCAGGCAACAAAGCAGCCATTCCGGCCTGGCAGATGGCGGCCGCAAACAAGGCCAAGGATATCAACGGGCCCAGTCCTGCGGCTGCAAGTCATAACTCCAATGTTCCGGTCACGAATGTGCCTTCTCAACAGGCCGATGGTGCCGAGGCCGTTGCAGCACTCAATGCGAGCTAGTTCTGTATCTGTTCATATATATTCTATAATGAAAACCCGCTTCCGGCCTCGTCACCCGTCTCTGTTGTCGCCGCCGCCGCCAAACCGTTGCCGTGCAATCTCTCGGAACAGACTCATCGTCTTCTCCTCCCGTTCCTTCGCAGCCTGCAACCGGGCCTCCAGCTCCGCACGTCTCGCCCGCAGAATCTCCTCCTTCCTCGTTTCCCGCTCGTTTTTCTTCCTCTGGTTCTCCATCTTCATCCGCTTCAAGTTGCCGAGACTGTCCTCGTCGCCCATGACATCTGAGTCCCGTAGGTCTACGTCACCGGCTGCTTCTTTACCTGCGGCGAACGCACGGTTGGAGTCGGCCTTTTCGCGTTTCTTTTCGAGTTGCCGTTCGCGTGTGCCAGCCTCGGCCCGCGGTACCAGCTCGTCCAGTCTCTCCTTCTGCTGTTTCCTGTCGATTTGGCGATCTTGGCGGATGCCTTCGATATATCGGTTTTTCGCCGAGGTGGCATCCTCGAGGGAATGCTCGTCTCGGGCGCGAAGGTCCGTCAGAGAAGGGATCGTGGGACCCGGGTCTTTTGACACCGTGTTGGCATGATTCCGAGCTCCACCATGATCATTGTACGACGCAATGGATGTGGATGTCGGCAGAGAAGGCCCATAGTCGTCATCCGACGCAGTATTGTCGGCGCCGTCGTAATCGTCTCGAGGATCTCGCTCCTGGCCCGACGGTCTCGCATCTGGCCGATCGACCCCCGATTGCGCCGTAGCATCGCTCTGGGCTGATGTATTTGCCTTCTCTAGTGTCTTTGGATCATACCATCCTTCAGCCAACTCTCCACGGTTCCTGCCATGTTAGCCAGCCTGCAAAAGCACCATTCAGGCAACGGGAACTGTACGTGATGCCTACCATTTCCCGACAAAGCTTTTCCACCGTCCTCTAAGTTCTTTGTCTTCCAAGTCTTCGAGAATAATGCCTTTCTGGATGTCAAGGTATAGTGCGAAGAGAGGGGTGTAGGTTGTCAGGTCGTGCCGGGAGAGATAACGGGCATTGTAAGGAAGAGGCTTTGACCGCGGGGAGGTGGGTGCGGGTGACTGGGCGCGCTTGTGGTGGTGTTGGCGAGCAGACCGCGAGCGATGGTGAGATTGGTGGCGATTGTCGGAGTGGGCATCGCGGTAGGGTGAGCGCGAGCGACTGCTGCGGTGCCTGTCTGGCATTGTCCTTGATGGGCTGCCTGGATGAAAACAGCCTGGAGCATGATATCGTTCCTCTGGCCCGTGGCAGCGAATCCTGGATATGATGTGACTTCACCCTCAGTATAATGTTGCCGCTTTACACATACGATGCCAGATGAACCCCATGTGCCACTGCGCGCTCAGGGCTCGAAGTTCTGGGGAGTTGCAAGAAGGCTCGTAGCAACTTTACGCTCTTATGTCCCAGCGCCTCAGCGGGCAGGATTCTCTCCCTCATCTCAATACCCACTTCTCCTATAAGTGCTCCTCATCTGCGTTGCGAAGGGCACGCGGTCCAGCCCACTAATAACGATCACGATCTTGTCCTCGTAGATTCAATGCGATACTGACATCAGACTGATCTGCTTGCCCGAAACTGATACAAGATCGTTTGCGTGGCCAACCTGTCGCCTACGCCATGTCCCGACAAGTGAGCTCAACAACGAGCCAGCGTTTAGAGCAGCGGGCTACGCGCCAAGCTTCTTAATGTATCGATCTCGAGAAGTTTTCGTTTGCAGCGCTTGAATTACCCCTCATAGTCTCTTGCTGTATAGACATCTTTCCGCTTCTGTTCGCATAGACATAGACAAGCCGTCAACATGCATATTCTTGTGGGTGTCCCGAAGTTGATTGCCAGAGTGGTAAGCTCACTTGACCCAGGTTGTGAATGACGACGGTCCTCCGTCGAATCAATCATCACCATATGTTCATTCGCTGGTATCCACACTTCAAGATGCCGGCCATATCGTCTCCGTCGTCTTGCCGCACGTTCAAAGATCCTGGATTGGGAAGGCTCATATCGTCGGTCAGACCTTGACCCCGACCTACTTTCGCCCCGGCAGCATCCTCAAGGATGACGGCATTACCTCGGATCGTCCCTTTGATGATGGAGGGGAAGAATGGATTCTGATAGACGGCACCCCGGCTTCATGCGCTCACATTGGTCTCCATCACATGTTCAAGGACAGAGGTCCGATCGACCTTGTAGTCAGCGGTCCCAACTACGGACGCAACACCACTGCTGTGTTTGCCCTCTCCAGTGGAACCATCGGTGGTGCAATGGAAGCTGCGATGAATGGCGTCAAGGGAGTCGCCTTGTCTTACGCTTTTGATTCCAGGGAACATGATCTTGAAGTCATTTCCGAGGCATCCAAGCTGAGCACCCGACTTATAGAAAAACTGGTCAAAGAGTGGCCGAACGACGTACATTTGTACAGTATCAATGTTCCTCTCCACAAAGGAGTCACGAACAATAAGATCGTGTACACCGAGATGATACAAAACCGTTGGATTGGTGGCAGCTCATTTACAGAATTGCCCGAAGAGGCTGACGACAATAACCCTAATGAGGAAGAACAGATGATCCGCGAGACCGGCGAAGTCAACGGGGACGGTGCCACGGTTACGAGGAGGGCACATCGCAAGTTCAAATGGTCACCGAACTTCGCAGCCGTCCGGAAATCTGTCCTCGATGCTGGCAAAGGTGACGGCTGGGAAGTGCTACAAGGGAACGTCACGTAAGTCCTTGATCACGGAAATGGAAACACTACAGTATATTGACTGATGAGTATAGTGTGACTCCATTGGTTGCAAATTTCTGGCATCTGCCCCATTACACTGGAGAAATCAAGCTGTGAGTAAGTTGACCATGGACGTTCCCGGCTGCTTCGGATGCATACATGAACTAAGTTGACCGATCTTCAGAGACGATCTTGCCGCGACCTCGATAGACCATGCAGAGAATTCTCCTACAGCTCCCATCTATGCACTGGTTGACTATCCAGACGCATATGTACAACCTCTGATCCTGGCTTCCATGAACCAGTTGAGGCCTACCGCTGTCCAGCTTTTGTCTTCCATCAGTCATCTACCTCATCCCCAACATCGTGTCTTGCAGTTCACTGCATATGAAGCAATAGACTTCGAGCATGCAATGCAACATCCTCAGACCTCGCTCGTATGCGCATATGTCATCCGTAAGGCCCTCATTCGCAAGCATTATCTATCCAACACTGTTTCAACTTGGCTAGTCAAGCACCCTGAAAGCATCTTGGCAAAGCATTTCAAGTCCTCCGCTCATTTCGAACTTGACTATGCAGAGTTTCTGGACGAAGCATTAGTGGATGCATGGGACTTGAATGAGAGTATGGCGGAGAACGAGCGAAAGGATTCTACTGAACAAAAGCAGTGGTGGATCCTGAAGCCTGGGATGAGTGATGGTGGCAACGGCATCCGGCTCTTCTCGAGTTTGGAGGAACTTCAAGCTATTTTCGAAGAGTGGGAAGAGGGCATGCCTGACCCCGACCACGGCACTGAAGAGCCAGACGGAGACGACTCATCCGGCTCTCCTTCTATGAGCAAACAAGGCGGTATCACCGATGGTAACGCAATGACGTCTCAGCTTAGACACTTCATCGCCCAACCTTACATCGATCCGCCCTTGCTATTGGAATCGTACGGGAATCGAAAGTTTCACATCCGAACATATGTTCTGGCGGTCGGGGCACTCAAGGTTTACGTCTACAGGGAGATGCTTGCCTTGTTTGCGGCCAAGGAGTATGAATCGCCTGCGTCCAATATGGACCCGGACATGCTTGACCTTGCACAACATCTGACAAATACCTGCTTCCAAGCTGAAGCGACCAAGGAGTCTTCTGTCTACCGGTACTGGGATCTGAACTCGGGCGGAATGCGACCTAACTGGAAGGAGGACGTCTTCTGCCAGATATGCGACATAACCGGTGCGGTGTTCGAGGCTGCAGCCCGTGAACAGATGATACACTTCCAAGCACTCCCGAATGCATTCGAGATTTTCGGCGTGGACTTCCTAGTGGACAGTGATTATAATGCTTGGCTGCTGGAACTCAATGCGTACCCCGACTTCAAGCAGACGGGTCGGGACTTGCAGGATGCGGTGGTCGGTGGCCTTTTCGCAGAGGTCACAAAGAATGCCATTGCGCCATTCTTCGGGCTTGCCTCCTCGGGGAGTATGCAGATGCCGCTTGTTCGGTCTATCAATCTAGGCCGGGGATGACAGGCAGTGGCAACGAGATCAAGCGGCCCACTTCGTCGCTCATTGACACGCACACTCTGATCGACGGGCCTTCCGCCAGCCCTTGGACGATGCTGTGTCACCCGAGTTGGAGCTGCAACCTGCAAGCACTTCACCATGTCCAGACGACTGCGGATGCAGCGCGACAATAGTCTTCCTGCAGCACACTCTTTCCGGCTTATTTGATCCGTTGTTCCTTGCAATCACTACAGGCCCAATTCGCAGCGGCCAATCGCACTGCGTGAAAGGTTCTGGGGACTGTGCCGGTGCCTCTTGCGCCGCTTCACACGATGCTGACAGGCAACGAGACTCGAAGAGCACAACATGAGCATCCCGGCTATACGACGCAAGCGGATGGTGGCCCGGCCTGAACATTTTTGGCACGGGGACGCGGAGTCGAGCAACTGCAAAAGCCCACGTCGCACAGTGGTGCTGTCAACGATAATCTGACACCAACCCGCGACCAGTGCCAGGCAACTTCTCTGAGTGTCTCTCATTGAGTTAAACTCATCCGTACGATTTGTAAAGTCGACATTTGAACGTCCGCTGACGGCCGGAAGACATAGCTTCTTCCATCTTGCATACGCGAGCTACCGCAAGGCTGAGTTGTGCTTGGAACCAAAGGGAAGAGAGCACACAGCAAGCAGCGAGTTGTCTTGTGTTATTAGCAGGGGATGCATCACAAGAACATACTCTAACGCTCAGGTCGAGTATGGCTTTAGAGCCCGGTCGCGCCTACCTCCCGCATGATCTGTATGGAGACTGCCCCTCCATCCTTCACTGAAGGCCTGCAAAGGCTGCGCCGACAACGATACGCGATGAGAAGTAAACGCATGCGGACTTCACTTCTCCCCCATCAAACAGACAGCGATCTGCTCTAGTTGTTGTTCCACACCACTCTCGTGTCTCCGACAGTCAACATTATCCCATGAGGCAGACTTGTATGAGTCGACGGTCAGGCCTTCCACACCTTAATTACTCATTTCTGCCTTATAGGCACACGTCGCCTTCACCACAACAAGCCTCGCTACAATTCACAGTCAGTCGACTTCACCGCACCTCTCAAAACCACCTAGCTCTCAGCGTAATACGGACACCAGCATGATATCCAACACCACCTCTGAAACGATCTTGGTTTTGAGAGTATTCCAGATCCTGACCGTCGGTGCCCCAGCCGTTTTCTTTGCCATCGCTAGTATCTATTCCTCGTTCTCGGTGACGCCGTCAACAAAAGCAGGAGGTGGAAGACTGCGCAAGGCTCAGCTCTCTCTCACTCTTTTCGCCGGCGTCCTCTCAGCTGCGGAAGCTGTTTTTGACCTCAAGAAGTCGGACCCATCAAAGACCTCAGACCCAGATGCCGTCTATTCGCTCTTCCTTACTCTGGTCTATGTCATACTCTCCATTGGACTCGTTGACGACGACGCAGTTGCATCATACCCTCACCATGGAGCCTGGGCTATCCTCCTCATCTGTCAAGGCACTGTTTTCGTCCTCTGTATTCCTGGCGCATCCTCAGAAGACAAGCTCATTTTCGCGCACGGACTCCTCCAAGGCCTTCGGCTCGCTGTCACGCTGATCCTACTAGCCGGTAGCTTGTTCATCCAGAATTTGCAATACAAGAAAAACACAGGTACCGAGGACGAAACACGCCCTCTTCTTGCTGATGAGGCTTCTGCAATTGGGCCGGCTACAAGCAGTGAAACGAACGATCCAGATGATGACGAAGCCGACAGACTGCGCATTCGAAGTCGCCCATTCTGGCAATATGTATACTCGTTCAAGGTCTTTGTGCCGTACATGTACCCAAAGTCGCCCAGCTTACAGCTCTACTTCTTGGGAATGTGTATCTGCAGCGCCGGGTCGAGAGTGGTGATAGTCGCTCTCCCTCTCACCCTAGGGGCCCTTGTCGACCGCTTGGGAGAATCAGTTCCGTGGAAACAGATCACCGTCTTTGTGCTACTTAAATTCTTGACATCCTCCGCCGGTGTGCCGCTGATTGAGACTTGGCTATCCTACCGGCTGAATATCGATCTGACGCTCGGGCTGCAGCGACACTGCTACGACCACATCATGAATCTCTCCGCAGATTTCCATGACAACAAGAAATCACCAATCATCTGGCAGGTCATGAATCAAGGTCAGGACGTGATAGACCTGTTCCACGATATGCTGTTCGAATTTGTGCCTCAGCTGATAGACCTGGTATCTGCATCTGTGGTCCTATCCTACCTGTTCGGCCCCTACATGACGTTCATCGTCGCCACAACGGCCATTCTGTTCTACTGGCTGACCTTCAAAGCACTTATCACCAAGCGATCTTTGCGACGATCCTGGCTCGATGCATACCACGACCAGTACTACCAGATGAGCGAGTCGACCTTGAATTGGTCGACTGTTTGTTACTTTGGCCGCATCCCATACGAACTGCGGCAATACCGGGAGAAGGGCGACGTCACTCGCGGGAAGATGCTGATGTGGTGGTCGTGGGAGTTTTGGACTCGTGGTCTGCGCAATATAGTCCCTTGCGCAACCTTTGCTGCCGCATGCACCGTGGCGGCATTGCAGATTGCCCATCGTCAGCTCAACATCGGTGATTTTGTAATCTTGATCACATACTGGTCACAATTGACCAGCCCTTTGTCGACAATTGCGGGAGAACTTTCGAGACTGACTGAGATGCTGGTCAACGCTGAGAAATTGGTGGTCATACTGGAAAAGACGCCGCACGTCCAGGACCTACCCGTTGCTAGGCCCTTCACGTTTTTGGAAGGCGCCGTGCAATTTGAGAACGTGTCGTTCTCATATGATGGCAAGCGTCAAGTGACAAAGGGTATCACATTCCGCGCGTCGCCCGGCACGACAATTGCACTGGTCGGACAAACCGGAGGAGGGAAGAGTACCATCTTGAGGCTCCTGTTCCGATTTTACGATGTCGATCAGGGCCGAATCCTGGTTGACGGGCAAGACATCCGCCACGTCAAGATGGAAAGTTACCGCAAGCATATTGCCATGGTGCCGCAGAATCCCGTCGTTTTTAACATGTCGATTCTGGAGAATGTCAGATACCCCGACATTGACTGTACGGACGAAGAAGCAATTGAGGCTTGCAAAGCAGCAGCGTTACACGACAAGATTATGTCCTTCACTAGAGGCTATCAAGAGAAGGTTGGTGAGCGTGGCACGAAGCTTTCCGGTGGCGAATTACAGCGACTCGCGATTGCAAGGGCGATTCTGAAGAAGGCTGACATCCTGCTCTTGGATGAAGCCACCAGCGCCGTGGACAGCATCACCGAGAAGAATATACAGGCGAGCATTCGTCAGCTCTGTGCAGGCAAAACGGCTTTCATAATCGCGCACCGTCTTTCAACAATCTTACACGCCGATCATATACTTGTCATCCGTGACGGTCAGATTGTCGAGGCTGGTTCCCATGAGAGTTTAATCAAACAGGATGGCTCATACAACGAGCTGTGGCGGAGCCAGCTTCGGCTCCAGGCCGATGAGCGTTCTTGTTCACGAGCAAGATCCCCGCAAAAGTCAAAGGCCCAAGTCCTTATCAACGATCTGAACAGCAGTGGGGAAGAGACTCAAACACTTGTTAAGAGCCTTAGTAGAAGCAGCAAAGATGGGAGATTCTCGGAGCAAGCATATGGAGCCGATAGCGAAACCTCGAGCACTTATGAGAAGGATCAAAAAGCCTGCGATGAGTCGCATGCCAATGCTGATGGGCGTGGTAGAAAGCTCTCAAAGAGACTTGCCGGCGCCTTGAATAGGAGCATGTCACGGTCGAAATCGCCCAGAAAGGGCCAATCTTCGGATTCTGGGTTGAACCCCGATGCTCCGACGTTCAGACTGTCACGATCGAAGTCGCCGCAGAAGGCCGGATCGTCAGAATCTGCTCTGAAGCCAGACGTCCGCACATTCAGACCCCGACGATTCCAAGACGGACACCACAGCACCAATTTCTCGGAGGAGGCGCCCAGCATGTCTGAGACTTTACTCAAACGTGCAACAGGCGATCCCGTGAACCAGATTGGATCCAATGCAGCCGCAAATAACGAAAATAACTCGAAGTCATCTCTAGTACAGGCAGTGTTTCCGCTAAAGAGGAAGTGGACTAGGAAGGGTCGGGAGAACCTCGACAGCAATGGAGATTCAGAACTTTACGACGTACCGGAGGTTACACCGGACGCCGATGATGCTAAGTCCGACCGCCTAGAAGCCCGTGTCGACGGGATCGACAAAGAGCAGATCAAGTCAGTGTTGGGACACGTGCGGCGACGCGAGACCGCGAGTGAGCCTTTTCCAGAAAGTGTCAACGAAGAGGATGACTCGGAAGGCTCATCTGGAGATGGGAATATCATGCACTCGGCAAAGTATTCGAGGTTGCCACAGCTGATGCGAGGCCGAGCTGTGTCGGCTGTTGAAAGGAAGGCTGTCAAGGCGCAGGGGAGCGGGGAGCCGTCAGCGGATGAGAACGAGCCTCGAGCACCAGTGAATACAGCAGCAAGCAGTCCCGGCGTCCTGACACCCAAATCGAACCGGAAGTTCTCTAGCGACTTGCTCGTCTAGGCCAGTTCGCCGATGCATATGGTCGAGAGTATGGCGCTTGAGTATGTCTACCCACTGCATCTCTTTACATGCCTCTGGGTTATTGAGCCTGGTAATCCCGCATGGGCAAGGTACCATCCATGAACTGCTAGGCTGGACGCGACGATAGAGTTGAACAGCATGATACTCCCAGCAGCAAGATTCTGTCAATAGCACAATACGTAGTATGATCCAGGTGCCAGATACGAGCAGGTTCTGAAGCCAAGTCTGCATGCAGTCGTATTGCAACTGCGATGTATTTCTCCCGCCCAATCTACAGTCCCGTCCATCAGATCAGCGTCTGAGCTGATACTTGACAAAGTCATCACAGTCAAAGGCCTTGTATAACCATATTACCCTGCTGCGTAGACGGTACAAGTCACAGGGCGTGGCTGGACTGGGAGGGGAGCGCTGCGGTGTCACCGCTTTTCTCCACATCATTCAGTCATGACGCTGTCCGCCACTCGACTCTTCGCAATGTCTTCTTCGTCGCTGCTAACGACGCAATGAGCGCTGCACAGGATGTCGAGCTCGTCGAGGCCAGACGCGCTGCAGTCGACGACTTTCGTGATCCATTGGGGGAGCGAGGCGAAGTAAGACCACCACAAGACGCTGTCTCGGTCGAAGACGTGCCTCCGGACGGCGGCTATGGCTGGGTGTGCACAGCATGTGTCTTCATGCTCAACGCCCACAGCTGGGGACTCAACAGCGTAAGCCCGTTCCAGGCCGGCGAGCAGCGCGAAGAGCTGACCGGTTGCAGACCTGGGGCATATTCCTAGCCCATTACCTCGCCCATTCCACCTTCAAGAACGCGTCTCGGCTCGAATACGCACTGATCGGAGGCTTGTCGATCTCTCAATCCCTGCTGAGCGCGCCGGCCGTCAACATTTCCCAGAGATATTTGGGCATGAGGGCCACTCTGCTCATAGGTACCGTCTTGCTGTTTGTCGCCCTGTTTGGCGCATCGTATTCGACCCAGATGTGGCATCTTTTCATGACCCAAGGTGTTTGTTTCGGGTGGGGGCTGGGCTTCACTTACATTCCTGCCACAGCCACTCTTCCTCAATGGTTCTCGACCCGTCGCAGCCTGGCCATGGGAATCGCATCCTCGGGTGCTGGCCTCGGCGGCCTGGCCTACAACCTGGCAGCGGGCGCCATCGTCCAAAAGATGGGTGTCAACTGGGCTTATCGCATTTTGGCATTCTGCGGCCTCGCAGTCAACACGGTGTGCTCGTTGCTCCTCAAGGATCGCAACAAGGCCGTCCAGCCTTTGCAGAATGCATTCAACTACCGCGAGTACGGGCGAGTGGAGGTGCTGCTGGTTGTGGCCTGGGGAGTGCTGACGGAGCTGGGCTACATTGTACTGCTGTACTCCCTGCCGAACTACGCCACCTCGATCGGCCTCACGACGTCTCAAGGCTCAGTCGTCGGGGCGGTCCTCAACCTCGGTCTCGGAGTCGGCCGGCCTGTCATCGGGTACTACTCAGACGCCTTTGGCCGCATCAACATGGCGGCACTGATGACAGCACTATGCGGAGTCCTCTGCCTCGCACTTTGGGTACCGGCCAAATCGTATGGTGTCCTCATCGCTTTTGCCTTGACGGCAGGTTGCGTGTGCGGTGTGTTTTGGAACACCGTCACCCCGGTATTGGCCGAAGTTGTCGGGCTCAAGAGACTACCTTCGTCGTTTGGGGTCATTTGTCTGGCCCTGGTCGTCCCTACCACATTTGCAGAGCCGATCGCGCTTGAGATGGTCACTGCTTCCGGCTACCTCAGCGCCCAGATCTTCGTGGGGTTTATGTTTTTGCTGGCCGGAGTGAGCACCTGGGTTCTGAGGTCTTGGAAGATCAACCAAGTTGAGCTAAAGGCTGCAAGGGAGCAACACCAGGTCGATCAAGGAGACAATGCAGAAAGAGATGGTTTCTGGTTAACTCCTAGGATGTTTCTTCGACTGGGCAGGGTCTGATCCCTTGTCCGACGTTACCTTCCAGGTGTGTTTCAGCCTCGTTTCTCAATTGTAGCCAACATCTCATGAACAACAGTGAACTCCAAAATAGCTGATGGCACCGTCTTGTCTCTGCTGGAGGCTTTGTTGTCGGCGCAATGGTAATCTCTGCCAGATGCCTACCCTGTCCGGATTGTCTCTGAAAACACAAACGCTCAATATCTCAACCGACAATGCTGTCCAAAACAGCTGGGCATTCATGTCGCAAGCTGGAGAAAGGCCACAAAGGAAATGTGCCAAACAGGAGTTGGTTGTGAGAGTCCAGCACATCGACGCTGGGGACAAGTGTCGGCTCCCGGTGGCCTCTATCAGATTTATGCTTCTCTAATATGTGAGTCGTCCACAAAGCTTTCCACTCTGCAACATCCCACAAAGTGACAGGATACTGGCGCTCTACCGGAGTTGAGGTATCGAGCAACATGCCACGCCTACTGAACTGTTCCTCCTTCCTCACCCTCCTCACCCTCCTCACCCTTGACGCAATCTTCAGTATTTGCTTTCCAGCTGCACGGAGCTGTCTTTACAAGGTTGGATTTGCGATACCGTCGCCGTCACAACATCTTGCCTGTCATGTTCAACCCGGAGCATTTTGGACAGTCCATTTCGCGAGCCGACTCGTCCTGCTCACCACATCTCTCATTTTTGGACTCTGGATCTGCAAGGAAGACAATCATACCACCAGCTTGTGGACGGATGGCCCTGACTTTCTACTGAGGCTAGGATCTGTCTTACGACTTTCCCTCTTCTCCAACCTGTTTGCATACTGCACGTCAAGTGCGACAAGCATCCTTCGATCTCTCATGGTCGTTCGAGAGACGAGGCTCAAGCTTCGGGCAGCCCTTTGGCGCACTGAACAACTGATGGAGGTGTTTTTCATGCTATTCCCAATCTTCAACTTTGCTCAGCGCATCGTCTCCAAATGCAGCAAACTAGACGAGCTACGGACCAAATCTTCTAGCATCCACGCCGTCGTCCATGAAACGTCCAACCCTCGCGAGCACAACCAGCCTAGACCTCCCATGCCGGGCGCATATCCGACCCTTGCTCACGAGCCTCGCTCTGAGATGTAAAGCCCTGTGCATGCCTTCTTCCCGTACCTTACGCTCGAACACGATCGATATTGCTTCGAGGAGGATGTGGATGACAACAACGACAAAGCAGGACTGAACGATGGCGAAGGAGGCAGCGAACAGAGGGGACTTGGAGTCATTGACACGGCTGGGGACTATGATGAGGATAGAGGGAGAAGAGAATCCAACGATCTTCCAGTACAGACACCAGATGCCTCCGAATACGATGCTGACAATGAGTCTTCCTCCTCGAACGACTCTGACCACAGGCTGACCAGAAAACTTCGAGGAGTTCCACTCAATGAGTCTTCCTCCTCGAACGGCTCCGAGTACAGGTTCATCAGAAAACTCCGAGGAGTTCCACTCAAGACAGAGGCTGCCCATGCACTCAGAAGGCGTAGCAAGTCAAACAACGGAGAATTTATTGAAGCGTGGGTCGATGGCAATGAAGTTGCCAACACCCATCTCCAAAACACGTATGATCAATCCCGTTCGATCTCTCTTGGGAGCGCTGCCTTTGACAGGCGGTGTGATGCTTCCAGCAGATCCGCGCCTCTGAACTCGCCACCGGCCTCACCAGGAGCCTTCATCTCCCACCGAACCGTGCATGAAAGAATCCAGGCTTGGGAAGAGCACCAGCGTCAGCGTCAGCAAGACCAGGAACGGAACCAGCCAGAGGGAGAACACGAGCCATCGTGGGAGTCGATAGAGAAGCGAGCACGCCGCTGGGACTTTGAAAGGATGAGGCGGCTTGACATGGAAGTAAAGTCCACCTTTCAATCGCCAACCAACCTTTCCTCTGGCCGAAATACTGGCCAATATCCATCGTCGACTGGACGACATGGACAACAGCAACCCCGCTGGCCGAGTTCCTGACCACCCACTGACTTCGGCGTCAACTACTCATCCTACCACCAGCTCCCAGCTCCAAGGATATCAAGCTGTGGACAGCATCGACGACCGCCCACCGGCTTCGGTGTCAGCTACCCATCCTACCACCAGCTCTCAGTCCCAGGGACAGCCAGCTGTGGTCAGCGTCGGCGACGAAGGGTTTCGCGTTTGGCCCCTAGAAGAACAAGGCCGCCGCAACGCGTATGACTGGACCAACATAACATGCCTGCTCTGATCGATGCCATATCCTCCGGAGGCGCGGAGTACGAAGAAGTTATCCACCTTCTCCGACGTACCCTTTTCGATCGGTACGCCCTAGCACGCATGCACGCATCTCTCGTTGGCGAGCCCATTCCGCACGGTCCTCCCATCCGAGTTCAGCCGGATACTATTCCCAAAATCGACAGACGACACACATTGACACGAATGACCCGCGGACACTATGCTCATCAAATCCCCTGAGCCGCGCCCACGCCCGGCCGCCCTTGAATGGACTCACATTCCGCCACCGCCGCCACCAGCCAGATCCCTTCATCTCACGCTGGGCAATGGCCAACGAAATCCCAGGTAGAATTAACGCATGCCAGACGGCGGAAAAGTAGAAGACGAGGAAGTGAGGGCGTTCAAATAACGAACCGAAATCGGACCCGGAAGTATGTGCCAGCATCGCCGTCGTCCAGTCAAACAAAGTCAAACAATTCGTCTATTTGACCCGTGAACGACGCGTCCATGTCGCTTCGCGGCAACTATCCTCAAGAGAGGCACGTTATGTTATGTTATGTGACACTAAGGGGGGCGGAGTAGGTAGTGGGCATAGGGCGTCCACTATGGTGTTCCCATGAAGTCGTCTAATAGAACACACCCGAGATCCAATGCAAGTTTGCGAGCGGCGGCACTCTCTTTCGCAAACCGCACGGCAAACTTTACTAACCTATTTACGAGCATCCGCATGAGAAACATGGGGTATGGTTGTATTGCCTCTGTGCGACGCAGCGAGGAACCACATACAGTAGCATGTTTCGATAGACGACTTGAAGGGAACTCCGTACACTATAGTATTTTTTCCAGGATGGGTCTCTGAATCAAATACCACCCGTACAGCGCACCCTTGAATTCTCCTCCCCATGAAACACGCTTTTTGTGGTCCCCCACCACCCGCCGCTCGATGAAGCCTATTAAAATACAAACAGTACTACAGGAGATACTCTCAATCGCCTATGTAAGAACATCGTGCAAACCGGTTAGCAAAACTCTCTCTGACGCCTGAAAAGAGACGTTTGGTCGCTGCTCATATCCGTCTGGCATTTAGTTTAGCGCCGAGTTTTATTTTGGCGATTTTCAAGTGGTACACTGCACTGGAGTATGTAGTAGGTGAGTATCCGGCTGGACTGGGACTGGGCTGGATCTTGTCTGGCCCTGAGCGGTGGGGTTTGTCAGTTCTGACCGGTCCTATTTGGGGTCCGATCTTGTTCCAATTTGACGAGTATCGAGTATCGAGCCTCGAGATCTCGAGTACCGAAAGGTAGCATCGGGATGGAGGGGATGGAGATGGGGGATGAGCATGAGCGAGCATGAGGGCTTGGAAATAAGGCGTCAGGAATTGGGACTGGACATAGGAAGGAAGGCCAAAGGAAGCCGCGTACTGTACGGAGTACATACAGTACACAGCACGTTCTGTACACACCCAAGGCAATCAAGTCAGTGTTCTGTCCATTTCCAAGTGGTTTAAACACCTTGCTTGGGGCATGAATTGAACTTCGTGGGTATCCATAAGTCGACTGCCAGATAACTAGCAAGTACATACAGTAGGTACCAAAATGTTGTCCGTACGGTCGTTAGTAGACAGTATCCTATCCCCTAAAAATGATAGATCAACTCTTCAACTATTCAACTCTTCACTTACACTTTACACTCGGCTTTCCGTACATGCTTGAACCTTTTTAAGCCAAAGCAAGCTCACTTATATCACTCTCATCTCGTCTCTTTTCGTATCCTCTTATGCACCATCTCACGTACTCTTCCCCCCCCCCCCCCCCCTCTTCCCGGCCGGGCCCCCCGGCCTTTTCTTAAGGTTGTCATCTCCCTTGCTCGGGGGCGCAAATTCTACTCCCCCCTTCTCCCTGCAGAGATCGAGAGAGTACCTCTGTGCGGGTTTGTGTGTGTGCGTAAGTCATCGATAATGCAGGGTCCATGAATCATAACAGACGTGCTGAAGGAGTAACGCGTAAAGAGAAACATCGCCGGAAAAGGAAATTCGTAAGTCAGGTCGTTAAATCTTGGTAAATCGCTGCGCTGCCGCTGGGGGGCAGATCTGGTTTCGGCTGGTTGGGGTCGGTGTTGTATTGTGTCCCTCGTGCGCCTTTCGCTTGGAACGTCGGACAAGGCATGTCGTGAAGGTGATGTCGGGCTGATGGTGGAACGAGGCTGCGTTTCGAGTCTGGTGCTCAATGCGTGTGATAAGAGTGCTTGGAACCGCCCGCTCGGTTGCTCTGGGCTCTACCCGCTTGTCACGCCTCCTATTCGAATGCGTGTCAGAGATCTCCGTGACAATGTGAATCAATCTCCTTTCGACGCATCCGTCTCTTTCTTGACTGCTCAACTCTTGAAAAAAGTCAAGATCATAGCTCCCAGGGCAACTCATCCTCCTCGCACCTCACACAGGTCAGATACCCCAGCCCACCACCTCCACCATCAGCAAGGCTCCGCAAATCCAGCTCCAGACAGTTCCTCACTAGTGGCTTGACTACATCCCTCGCGACGTTCTTGATCTCATCCACCTTGCGTTCGAACCGGCGAAGATTGTCGCGGGTGTACAGAGACTGACTGGTGGAAGGTGGCGTAAGTTTGAGGAAGCGCTTGAGTTCGTCGTGGGGCAGGAACGTGTCGGGGTTAGTGGAGGCGATGAGGCGGAAGATGCGACCCGTGGCTATGGCGCTGGACTGGTGCGCGTGGACGACGGGAGGTGGGTGAGGCTGATACGGCGGCGGAGGTGGCATGTTGCGTTCTACACTGGGGCGAGGAGCCGGCAGACGGGGAGGCGCATTGCTATTCCCGCTACCAGGACGTGAGTTGGGCGGATTCTTCAGGATGCCCCGGACTTCGGGTGTGGTATTCTCGGCAAGCCATTGCCGCCACAGCGACATTGCTAGCCAGCCCAGATAGTCGTTCGACGGGTTGACCCTCTCGCCGCGACTGGTTGTTAGTGTCAACCTGAATAGTTTCGTCTCGATTCGTTGTTTCAGTTCTTCGAGCTCGTCGACTTTGTCCTCAATGAGGTCGATGACTGACTGTGGAACTTCATAACCCCCGCCAGAATGGTCGGGTGGTTTGATGTAGGGAAGGGCAGCGGGCCATTGGCCCACGACGTGTGTCAGGGCTTCTGAGAAGATGATTCGACTCCGGGCAAGATAGCCAAGTTTCAGATATGATGGCGGGTACTTGGCAATCTGCTTGAACAAGCGGGATGAAAACCGCAGTAAATGGTGGTCGATTCGAGGGCCAACCACGGGCAAGGCGTCGTACATGTCTGCCAGAGACAGAAGGGCTTTGCATTCCGAATAGGCCGAAGCAATGTTCGTCGAGTTCAGGACGGGTGGGTAGTTGTAGAAGATGCGGAAAAGATTGTCGTAGTCTCGGACCAGCGGGTTTGTGAGAGACGCGTCCGGTGCCGTCACGGCCAATTCGGCTGAAGACTGTGAGGCCGGTCCACGGTGGGAGAGGGCTAGATTCGCCATGGAGCGGAAAAAGGACGATGAATGCGCCCGCTCGGTTCTTGGACGATCCGGCTGGGGAGGAGCCGGTCCTGGCGCGAACAGGTTGTTTTCTGGCGTCTTTTGGACCAGGATGGGCTCCTCGTCTTCCTCCAGATTCTCCCAGTCCAACTCGAACCGCCATCGTTGCCGTTGTGATGCGGAGGGTAGTGCCGGTGGCTGTGGGCCAGCAGCCGAAGGACCGGCCGTCGTACTGACCTGAGACGACTCCTCCCCAATGACACTCAATGCCTGGCCAGGCCTCGACGAGGCGCCATCGGTTGGACGGCTCTGCGGCTGACCTCTTGTGGTCTCCTCGGCAAAGAAGCCTGCAAACTGAGCCAACGTGAAGCTGTGGAGGAGATATCTCTTCTCTTGTCCATCGCAGGCAATTACAATCTCCACATCACCGGTGTGTGAGAAGAAGGGGAATTCGTTCTGCGGAACGTGGGACGTCCCTCCATAATGCGACCGTCCCCGCTGGTGATGGTGTCGTGAGCGGGAATTTCTTGAGACGATGGAGGGAGCGCCTCGAGACTGGGAGACGGAGCGAGAGCGAGGATGATGATGATCTGCGACTTCGGCGCGTGAAACCATCGGGACAGATGTTTGCTGGTGGGATTGTGCAGGCTGTTGATTCATGTGATCTCATCCACCCTCGCACGCTCGAAAGCTCTGTGCACGCAAGCTACATTCATCCACGCAGTGCTTGTAGGCAGTGGTGTGTCGGCCAACTTCCTCCGCCCGTGTGTGACTGATTGTTTCTCCAGGTTGCCTCCTGTTCTTTGCGCATCCACGTCGGGCGCTGTGACTGAAGTCGCCGGCAGGAAGCCTGCGGGAAGGATGCTGCGATTCGAATCGATCGACGCTCTCACGTGGGTTGGCCGATGCGATGCTTTCCTGCGTGGCGGACCCAGTCACCAGGTCAGGCGACGCCTTCTGCTGTAAACTCTCCCAGGCGCCATACTGCGGAGGCGCATGGAACCTCCCTCTGGATGAGGCTGCCGTGGGACTCGAGGGGTGGCGATGGAGGTGCAGAGCGACAGCCCGAAGAGGCGTAGCTTCAGCTGCAGGTCCAGGCGAGTTCGGCGTCTCCTGGCCAGTGGTAGACGAAGCTGAACCAAGGCACAAGCACCGCCAGGCCATGCCCGCATTTTCATTTGTGGCAGGCCCAGGCGCTAACAAACATGTCAGCGAGACAAAGGCCAACGAAAAGATTGCAGAGCCAAGTGTTTGACTTGCCAGTCTTTCATTCGGGCGGATGTGTCTGACACTCGTCGACAGGTCACAGAGCCAGCGCCGGAGGTGTATATACCCCGTCTACATCTACCAGATGCATCCTTCGACGACCCCAAGAGCCAACTGTCGATGCTCTTTTTCCCGGTTCCAGATCGCCATGCTGTTCACATCCTCAAGACCAATGCTATGCTAGTAAATTTCTGTGCAAAAGAAGCGAACGACCAACCACAGCGCCGCATTTCTGTTCTTCCTCTCGGCCCCATCTAGAATACTGCCGTCAGTCCGCTCTTCGACTGCCGCTTGCTGAAGCGTTTTCTCCCTTTAAGAGACTCCGCGTCGGCCGAGTGCTGCTTGTGCAGTATGCCACGTCCCGAATGTGACTGATTCGCCGAATGGGGACTTAAATCGGTGGGCTGATCGATGGTGCTGGCATGACTTGACAGGGCTGAAGACGAGATATTCAGCGAGTCGTTGTTGGAGTAGTTGTTGTTCTGCTGCATCGCAAACTCTTTGGCTCGTCCCAACACGTCAAGCCACTCCTGTGTTGCTTTGGCTGTCGCCATCGGGTCGTTTGACGGAGGCTTCGCGTCCTCGAAGACGTAGTGGCGGTCCTTCTGCTCATCTTGTCAGTTCCTATATTTGAACAGGTTATCACGTGAGAACTCACAGTGTCAACTATCCACTGAGTCACTCCCTTCGCATCCGTCGCGCTCGAATACTCGGTCCCAGGAGAGAGCAACGAGATTTCCGATTTGGACTTCTTTTCCTCTCCACCCGCTGCAGCAATTATGATTCTCGCACTCGACGTCACCATCACCAGCCTCTGCCGTTTCTTGGTGTTGCTGCCTCCAAACCACTTCGACAACTTGCCGCCACCATCATTGTTGTGAGGACTGTGGGGATTTGGAGACGAGACCACGCAGAGGTTACCGAGTTTGAGGATTCTTTCATTGTTTCGGGTGAGAACGGGCGACCATTCGATGTCTAGTTGACTGGGTGGCGGGAGTTCCGTGATCACCCTCGGTTGCGGTCGCTGGTTGTTGGGGGGGAGCATAGTTGAGTGAGTGCTGTGACCAGGACCGATGTCAGGGGGAAAGCTGTCTTGGGCACCGCTTCCATTAAGCTTGATTGGTGGCTGTGTGGGAGGCACAAACGATTTTAATCGTGGTGCCTTCTGCTCCCAGAGTCCCCGACCCCACTGGATGCCGGTGAAGAAGGGATGATTTTTGGCATGTTCCAGAGACAGTCGCCTTTGCGGGTCGAGGACTAACAACCGCTCGACCAAATCCCGGGCGACTTCTGGGAACCCCCGGGGAAACTCATAGTCAAGTCCCACAATCTTCTGGAATGTCTGATAGTCGTTGACTGCTTTGAATGGCGGCCGTCCCGCCAAAAGCTGGTATATGATGCAGCCAAATGCCCACATGTCACTCGCTTTGCATGCGCTCTTGTCAGTCAGCAGTTCTGGGCTCACGTACTCGGCGGTGCCCACAAACGAACTTGCGCGGTTCTCGGTTGAGGTGGAATCGGGTTCGAAATCGACACGGCCCTCAGTGTTCCGCCTCTCAGGAAGGAGTTTAGCTGTTCCAAAGTCCGTGACCTTGATGTGCCTATTCCCGTCCAGCAGGAGGTTCTCCGGCTTCAGATCGCGATGAATGACACCCCGGCTGTGCATGTACTCGATGGTATCGAGTATCTGCGCGCCGTAGAATCGGGTGCATTCCTCGTCAAAGGTGGACATGCGCTTTAAGACACCAAGCAATTCGCCGCCCTGGCACAGGTCCAGCACAAAGTATAGTGACCGCTCATCTTGGAAGGTGTAATACAATCTCACCACGCCGGGATGGTCCGTCAACCGATTCAGAGTGTCTTTCTCAATGTTTACGTATTTCACCTTCTTTTCCTTGATGATATGTCTCTTATCCAACACCTTGATGGCGTACTCCCTCCCATTGCTCCGATCGGTCGCAGCGAGGACTGTACTGTAGGAGCCTTCGCCGAGGGTCTGGCCAAAGTTGAAGTCCTTGACGCCCTTTTTGACGGGCCTCGTGGTGACTGTGCCATCTGGCGCAACTTCTCTTCTCACGCCGACGGCAGCACCACGCTCCTGCCAGTCCTCCGCACTGGTAAGCGGCCGGTCTTCGAGGTTGTACGGCGAGCTCGACAAGGGCGTCTGTACGGATCTGGGCGTGGTCGAAAGAGGGGTGTTGCCGGTTGTAGTGCTGCCTGCGTGTGGAGGTGGCACGCCACGAGAGGTTCTTCGCGGAGGCAAAGGTCCATTGCCCGGTGTGTATTGTCCTTGCCCGTAGGATCTTTCGGTGTGGTTGGCATCTCCCGAAGGCACTCCAGCCACATCACCTAGCCCGGCGCGCTTCGAGGATGTCCGTTGAGGAAATCCCGACGAGGCCGAACCATCACTTCGAACTCTATATGAACCTTGCCGGGAGACTCCATTTGTACCAGAGCCGTTGACCGGCATCTGCGTGTAGTACGCTGAACCAGGACGGGAAGCGTTCGATCGAGGGTCGTGTAGGTTCTGGGGCATCATGGTAGGGTACTGTGGAAACTGCGCCTGTTGTTGGTCTTGGTATGAATAGGGGATATTCTGCCGTTGGGACATTCGGTCTGACGACACATTCTTTTGTAAATAGGTAGCCTGTGTAGGTGTGGAAGCGGACTCGGAAGATGAAGCTATGGCGAGCGACGGAAGGTCGTCGGCGGCGGTCGAGGTCACGGTGCCCGAGTCCATCGGGGACACAGGGCTGTGAGAACGTTGCGACGTCGCGGAGAGATAGTCTGTCCTCCCGTCTGGGTCGACCAGCGGAGATACTCGTGGGAACTGAGGTTCGGGAGGATGACTCTGCATGGGAGTGTCGGGCGACGCGTCGTCGGGATTCGCAATCCGCAGCGGACCAAGCGAGAGGTCAGCCATTCTCGTCGTACGTCCGACTCAGACTCGTGGGCGGAGTGGCTTGGAGATGGGATTGACAAGCCCAATGACGTGGCGGTGGCTTCTTGCCGGCACGGTTCAGTCACAATCGCTGTAGAGTTCTTGAAGCCTTCATCGCTGCGGCATCCGTGCCGGCAGCTGTGAGATTTTCTCCCCGGCCTAGAGTGACGAGGTTAGGGGCGGATGGTGAGTCGGTTTCAGATTGCGAATCGAGAATCCTGGGATCCGATCTCAGTCCCCGCTAGTGTCCCGGCGGCTGTGATGGTGCGATGGCAATTGTGGTAGCGAGCGTGTGTATGAGTGAGTGTCGGAGTGAGGGACAGGTGCGAGAGGGATGGATTGAGGTTGCCAGACGGATAAGCCAAAGGTGAGCCCAAGATGAGCCTGGGATGAGCCCGAGATGATGCTCGTCTTTGCGGTTCAAGTCGCTCGCAGGGTCAGAGCGTCGATGGCCAATCAGCGGCTCGGGCGTAGATTAGTTCCACACGCTGCGTCTGTGAATCCGTCGTCGGGTCTTTGGGGATCATCAAATACACCATTCACAATAGGTACGCAGTACGACAATACACGCCTCTCTCACACCTCCTCGTCGGACCGCAATCGACTGCAGATTGCGGTGGAGTTCATGTGACCGCTGTGAGGCTAAGCAGTGGGTTCATGCATCCACATACGTAAAACGTCCAGATCCATCACGGGCCGTTGGGGGAGTCAAGGTTGACTTCCACCTCATCCCAGCCTACGCAGCATGGAGAAATACCATAGAGAGTCTCCATCTCCATGCCTATGAGCGCCAGGAGGGACCGCGCATGGCTGATCTGACCATCCATGTCAGCCTTCCGATGTCTTTGAATGTATGTTGGTTGCAATAAATGTCCAAGCACGAATGGTGGATGGCAATGGTTTTCCTAAGTCAACATGTATCGCACCTGCCTGATGATGTCGTGGCAAGGCGAAGAAGTCACCACCTGATGATGTCGTTGCTATACACGGAAGTCGCTGCCTGATGATGTCGTTGAAATACAAGGAAGTCGCTACCCGATGATGTCGTTGCAATGTGAGGAAGGCGCGGCTGGTGACTGACGCTGCTCCCAGCAAACACAAGCAACAATCGTGTCTTCTTCCTGATGGGTATTTTATCAAGTCGGATCTCTGGCTGTGAACCTCCTCGATGCGCACATCTCGATCATGATTCGCTTGCCTGCTACCAGCATTTCCCTCTCGGAGCGAGACATCGATTTCCACCTTCGACAGGCGGAACTCTACCATGGCCTTCGGAAACAGGGTTTCAAAAAGGACGACGTTGTCCGCTACCTGAGAGACTATCGCGACGGCGCAGCAGAAGCAGCCAGCCACGACAAGCACGGCTTCGATCTGTCCACCCCCAGCACTGTTGAACTGTCCAGCAGTCGTCCTCGCCTGGCGTCCACCTCGAACGGCGATCTGCCACTACCGTTCAAGCGAGGATCGGGCCACCCTTCTTCGACCGCGCCAACGAGTACCTCATCCATCCCCTTTCCAGACTTCGCTTCCGATCCCAGTAAACCCAAATCCGAAGACGGGCAGCTTATCTACCACAAGATCCAAGATGTTAATGATGGTCGGAAAGTCTCGCCAGCCTCGATGCCGTCGTCTATTAACACCAATCAGCATGCTCCTCGAAAAAGCTCTCTGCTCCGTTTCGCCCAAGCTGCGTCTCCAGAACGGCTCTCTGCTGATACCGAGGACGGAACAATCGGGGCCCCTGTAGTGAATACCCCCAAAGCCAAGAAGTACCGACGTCGGAGTACCACCTATCCGTACCAATCCTCTGAACGGGAATCTGCAGGCGAGACATACGTAGATGGCCAGGTCTTGGACCGCATGAACCGAATGTCCTTGGGGGAAGACGATCTCCATGATGAGCTGGAGAGCTCATCTTTCGCACTGCCACCAGCATACTCCGATAGCGTCCGGACTTCTTCAGCCTCTGATCTCGAGTTCGCCAGCCCAATGAGTGGAGATGGATCTGGAGACTCGCCAAGTCTCTCGTTCGCCCGCGCGCCCATGACCCATCGACGAAACAGCAGCCAGCTAGAACGTGGAAACTCGATTGCAGATGTACCCAGCTCTCCTCCTCTTCCGATAGCCCCAGCCAGGGAATTCACCAGTCGAGCCCGTGCGTCTCCTGACTCCTCTCAAGTGCCGACCACACCAACTCCCATTCGCAAGGCTAGCAGTGTCCCACGCACCGAACCAAGACCTTACAGACCGCAGCTTGATGGGCACTCTTTCTCGGTGTATAACGACTCGCTTCCTGCGTCTTCTCAGCCTGAAACACCAGCCGACCTGTCGAGACAACCATTGATCACTGAGCATGAGGCCGCTTATACCGCACCCCCTGCGATGGTTCGTTCAGGCCATCACGGTCAACGCACTTGGGAGTTAGATCAGGGTGAACAGAGCCCGACCGCAAGAGCTATGACGTTGCGTGGCAGGAGAAATCGAGAGTTGACGCGGAGTGTCAGGGCTGAAGGAGTGAGGTTGAACAGACTCATGATGAGGGGGGAGGCTATGTTCACACAGCGAGGATTGCGAGCTGCCGCTGCGGCAAACGGAGATGCTGTGGTAGCGGCGTTGCCACAGATTCCCGACGACGTCTGGAGGGATAATCTGGATGCGGACCGTGTTGGGGAGGAGAATTTCGAGACGGAGCTTGATGTTGGCGGAAGACGAGTGATGAGGGCTGTCAGTGGCAATGCCAGATTCGACGCTTAAGAGGGTGGGATGGACGGATGGCCCTCCAGCGGGTGAATTTGACAATCTGTGCCGTCAGGAACCATCGAAGGCAACAAACATTATTGTTTAGCACAGCGACCGTCTCTAGTTGAGCCAGGGCGTTGAAAGGGTGCTGTCCAACGGCATGATATCCGGACGGCACGAGATATCCATGGAGCCGTGAGTGGGCACACTAGCTTTATAGCTTACTGATTCCACAGTGACACCGCATGTGGCCCGGTCTCAGAGTCCTGGGGAGTGTGTGCTCATACTGTACTGGGTAATGGCATGGTTCCGCTCCCATCTCTGGCCTGATCCATCGTGCGCACTCCTGAGTCCTGACCCACCCACCGCATCAGTCTTCCGTCCCCTGTCAGCCTGTTTCATGCCGCTTTTCATGCTCTGCGAGGCTGTCGGTCTGTCAAGGGTTGTGCTGAGTATGTACTGGGTACCACGGACAAAGAACGAGAAGGCAGCCTGCGTCGCTTGTACAAGGTTAGCCAAAGCTACAGCACCTGGTGCTTCCAAGCTGCCCATTCACAGGAGACATACCTGTAATTATGCACGTCTGGCCTCTCACCCTCTGGCCTATCTGTCCCTTCACCTCACCTCACCCTCACCCATCCACCTGTCCACCCGTCCACCACCCGTGCCTCCAACGCACCATTCGTCGCTTCGGCCAAAGTCCGCCTCGCCTTGCCTTGACGTGCTTGGCCGTGACAGTGCCATTGACACACAGCAATCCATGGACTCTTCTCGTGTCTTGCCCTGCACCTGTGTCGTCCCGTCATCATCTCCCGTGAGAGCAAGCACGGACATGGCTCCGTTGCTCGCCGCTTTGTTCGTACATGCTGTGGTACGTGGTATGTGGTACGTGGTACATGGTACATGGTACGGAGTACTGCCCAGTACCTAAGTAATACTGACTACCGTTTTCGAGCACCACTTTCCTATCTCAGCCACACCCAGCACCCAGCACCTAGCACCCAGCACCTACATGTGTACGTACCCCGACCGGACGGAACCACTACACAGTACGTATGACATGAACTTCTGGCGTCCGAGACGCAGACGCAGACGCAGACGCAGACGCAGACACCGACCTACCGACCGATCCGAGATACTAGTATGGGGGTTCCAATTACAGCGCCACTACGTAAGGTACTATGTACGAGTTACAGAGTACTGTGTACGTACTGTACTCACTGGATGGACGGACGGGCGCGGGGATTCTGATTTCCGAGTCTCGAGATAGTTTCTCGACTCTCGACTCTCGAATCTCAAAGTCCGGAGACATTGCGAGGGGGCTTGTTCATAGCGCCGCTACTCCGTACACTTCGGCGTCACTGCAAGCTCTAACTTAACCTTGGCGCGCCAGAGATTGCCCTGCTTTCCGCACGCATGGCGGAATGTGTCCGATGTGAATGTCTACATATGCAGGAGAGGAAGAAGCCTATTTGCTCCCCGATGTGCTCCGTACACACACGATATGATGCGGTGCATGGTGCGAGGGTGGAAGCACCGATCACAAACCTGTCACTGTTCTTCAGTGGGGTTGTATACTGAGATATCCTTTCACTGTCTGGAGCAGGTTGTATACTGAGATATCCTTTCACTGTCTGGAGCGGGTTGTATACTGAGTGTGTAGGCGGAGATGGCTACTTGAGGTACGCAGCAAGTGGCTCCTGTTCCTACTCTTCATGGCAGGAATGGGCATCGTTTGACCTCTCAACTTATGGATATCTAAACAGCTTTTGATGGCTATCAACTACTCGTACTGACGATGCACCTTCCTGTTCTTCGTCTCTGTTCTTCGACCGCGGTTGAAGAATGTCTTCGTGGACGCTTCTTGTGGGCAGCACTGACTCGACCGCTGGCTGACATACCCCACATCCCAATTTGGGCGATACCTGCTGCCTGCTGGGTACTCTGGATGTTCGCACCAGCTATTACGAGCAAAATCAGGTCCCTGCATACAGGCCCTTCTCCGCAGACTGGAAGTCGCATCTCGCCAAGAGAGGTGGTCGAGCTAGAACCCTCATTGCTGGGAACTACTATAGCTTCTGGCAAGCTTTCAGTACGTGGTCTCCCACAGAGAGACACTGTACCACGCACAAGTCGGAACAAGCGAAGCAAAGGTGGTTACGCCAGTGCTGTGCCGCTATATTACCTAACCAAGCCTGCCGGCTTATCCGAAGATTGAGCGGCTGGGGGTCGCATTGGATGTGCGCTGTGTGCGATAGCTAGAGGTAATGGTGTGCTCCGGAGTCCTTCCGCGCGGAATCTCCCCCAGGTCCAGCCTGTGAGGCATCAGGATGTGCCAGCAAAATCTCCGGAATACAACAAGGTGATGCCGATGCAGCCTGCACAACGCAGCGCCGGAGCACGGGCGCGGGTGATGGCTGCTCGTGGAGTCATGTGGAGAATGGCAGGATACCCTTCTTGGAAATCCTTCTCGTACATGTACGAGTGACGTGCAGCACGGATCGCGCCATGTTCCCGGATCTCATCAACCTCATCAGATCGGCGGTGCACGAGATCGGGCGACATGGTTGGTGATGTGCATTAGCTCAAGGGACGCTGCTTGCCGTTGCATGGGATTCTGCTCAATGGTGTTTCCCATCTGCCATGCAGTGGTGGTGCGGCTAAGTCCCGGCGGACCGTCCCAATGAGTAGTCATACTTTTGGTGCCCTTGCTGCATCAACTTGCTCTCAGTCACGTCCACACTCACAGGCTTACCAAATCTATTCCTCCATTCCTCTGCCCCATAGATAATGAAAAGCAATGGAATGAAAGCCATTGCGCCCCCCAATGAGAGCGAACATCGGGAACGCTCATTTGAACCCGATCCTGTTGCCTAAGTGGACAACATAAAAACCGAAGGTCAATTGAATCTCCTGGCGGAAGGGGTTGAAAGGTTGTGCAGCCTCGCTGCCCTCCGTCCGGTAGCAGTCAACCGTGTATGTGTAGGTTGTCGTGGTGCTCTGAACGCCGAAGCATGCAATGCCAATTCTCATGATACGCAACATCCAAGCTTCCCGATATTGCAAGCAGAAGCCATAAATCAGGAGACCGGCACGCACACTGACCTGGCCCATCCAGATGGCTTTGAGTCGGACCTCTGGTCAGTATTGCGGCCGAGCCACTTTCGCTCACATTTCACAATCAAGTCGGCAGCCCAGCCTGAGACGCACGAGCACAAGGCACCACAAGGGGTGGAGGCTGCGACATACGTGAGCCCAATGGTTAGCATATTCCAGCGAAAGGACTGGCGAATATTGCTGCGACGGTGGCTGCGTTCAGTATGAAGGCAAATACGTACATTGTGGCGTAGCAGAGCGCGGGAAACAGCACTTACGGATATCTGGCCATCTTGTGGCGCTAGAATGACAAAGCGATTAGATCTCAGCGTAGATTCTGGAACACTGACCAGAGTCGCAATAGCGAGAAGCAGAGTTCTCGTATGCATCAGGTTTTAGGTGTAGCGATGGGAAGCTTGAGAGTGTCGGCCGTGGACGACACAGGTGCTGGGCGGATGTAGAGTGTTTCTGTCTGGCATAAGACAGCAGTTATCGGCACAACGGCTTTCGCGAGGGCTGCAAATTGGGAAGTCAATCGCTATCCACAGTACTGGCGGAGAAGGCCTCTAACAACAGGAGCCAGATGGCCTCGGTTGACCATGGTCACGGTAAAAAGCCCATCGCTACGCCACGTTGGTGATAGGAAAACACATCAATCACTGGTGCTGCGTCAGGCGCGAAAGCCGCAGAGCAAACCCAATTGAAAATTCGTGTGCTGTGCTAAGCTGGCCAAAGGATTGTGTGAACGCACAGTCGAGTGCTGAGATGTAACCCACGAAACGTCGTTGTCAAACAAACAGGCTGTTGGCCATAAGTTGCTTGAGAGAGGAATCCATAACTAAGGGGCAATCCCATTCAAGTGCTGTACAGACTGATCTTGCTGCCTATTAGCGATTGGTTATCGGGAACATGTCGTCGAAATAAGACTCACGTCTGATACGAGGTGGTAAACTAGCTGCTCCCTAAGCACTTGGGCCATCAGCACCAAAGCTGGGTTGATCGCAGCCAGTATTGAGCCTGCCGAATGCCCCGAGTAGAGCCGTCCGGACCAGGATGCTAATCTGTAGATGTCGAACAGCCGCCGTGGAGGCCATCCCGTATGTTATGGGACGATCCTTTACCCAGAGAGGCGAGTTCAAGGGATCTTGGGGGGTTCTTCAGACGGTTTGGGGTTCACGAACTTGTCCCCCTCACTTGGTACTCGATGGTTTCCTGCTCTTCCACGAAGGTACCAGAATCACCGTAATTTTCCACTGCCATTGCCGGTTGTGCCATCTTGTGTATCCAGGTCTCCTCGTGTTGATGGATGGGTCAGGAGGACCGCAGCACCAGCACCTGTTCAGGACTGCGTTCGGACCAGCAAGCCATGGGATGCATGCACGCACGCACCGACACGCTCCAGTGTGGCAGGGTCCGTCTCTGCGAGGACCATTCCGTTTCTGCAAGCCAGGCTTCGTAACTCGGAGGGGGGGGTCTAGGGAAAATAATGTGGGCACGGTAGGCCGGGGACGACTGGAAGGTGGAAGGAAACAAGAACTGGCGTGGCGGAGATCAGTTGGAGATGAAAATAGGGCTGGAACATCGACAAGCTTCCCCAACCGAAGGGCCCAGAGAATGTCAGGATCATCCCTGTTAGCCTGGAGAGAGTCGGCAGAATCAGCTGACGACAAAGAGGAAACAGGAGCTCGTGTTGAAAATGGACACGATACAGGACGATCGCCCGGTCTGAGGACGGACTGATGAGTGATTCGACTGAAGTGAAATGTACCCGGAATATGCCGAAAGTGCGGTTGTCGAAGTTTCGTGTCAAATTATGCTGACTGTCAAAAGAACTTCATGTGACACTCTACTCACACTCACTGCAACAATGCTCACCTCGAGGGCAAAAGGCTGGTCGGAAGCCTAGACAGAGGCTGAGG